AATATATTTTTAATTGCCTTGAGGAAACAAGCCATCAAAAAGAACTGCTAGCTGAGCACCCACCTATATTTTGGCTTTTCAGGAGGCAGAGATTAGGAGGATTAAGGTCTGAAGCCAGCCTGGGCAAATAGTTTGTGAGACCCTATCTCAAAAAATGCTATCATAGAAAAGGGCTGATGGAGTGGCTCAAGGTATAGGCCCTGAGTTCAAACCCCAGTACAAAAAAAAAGAATTTCTATACCTCCCCACTCCCCACAATAAATCTACACACCTTTGATCTGTCTCTTACTATGGATGAAAAGTCTGTGCTCCTAGCTTAGAAGCCTACCCACTTAGAATGTCATCCATTCCTGTTTACATGTAGTCCTAACTCCATTTACTCCTGTCTCCTAAAATATCAATTTTCTACCATAGTGGATCTTTTCCGTCAACAATCAAGTATGCTGTCCTTTAAAAAAAAAAACAAAAAGTAAAACAAAACTCTCTAGGTTCCTCTTCTTGGGCTGCTATAACAAAATGCCATAACCAAGTAACTTATAAACAACTCCTCTTGGTTCTGGAGACTAGATGTGCTGACAGATTCTGGGTCTGGTGATGGCTTGTTGCTTGGATTATAGATAACTAACTTCTTGTAGTGTCCTCAAATGGCAGAAGGGGCCAGGGAGTTTTCTGAAACCTCCTTTCTAAGGGCACTAATCCTAAACTTTGTTGTGATATGTTGCAGAGCCCTCGTGACCTAATCACCTTTCAAAAGTTCCACCTCCTACTTCTATCATACCAAGGATTAGGATTCAACATATGAATTATAAACATTCAGTCTATAGCAGACCCACTTCCCTCCATCAATGACTGGCTCTTTCCTTCCTTTTGACTCAAACTCGCTGATAAAGGATATATTGATTCAATTTTTTTCTCCTTCTAGTCTTAAACTTACTTCAATTAAATTTTTACTCCACCATCCCACTAAACTGCCTTCTTTTAATCTCCACATCACTAAATCCAATGGTTCATCCCCATTGTCACCCTATCTGCATAATTGGGTGTAATTGCTCTCTTGATACACTTTCTTTATTTGGTCTTTTAGACAACACAGTCTGTAGCTTTTCCTCTCTGAATGTTTATTTTCAGGCTCTTTTGAAAACACTTTTACCGCCCTCTCCACTCTCTCCTATAAACAGTAGCGTAATCAAGAATCAGACTTTGAATGTTCGTGCTTGGCGATCTCCCATGGCTTTAAATTCCACCTTCCTAGTAGTGTCTTCCAAGATTATATCTCCAGTTCAAACTTCAAATTCTGACTCTGGACTTCTTGGCATCTCCACTTTGATGTCTTAATAGATGTCCCCAATTTAGCATGTCCAGAATTGCACAGAGATTCTTCTCATGCTTGCTTTTCTCACAGTCTTCTCCATCTCATTTTTCAAACCAGTATCTTGAACTTACCTTTGATTCTTTTCTTTTTCTTATGTTCTGTAGCCTGTCAGCAAATTCTTTCAGTTCTTTTTTTGGCAGTATAAGGTTCGAACTCAGAGTCTTATACTGTTAGGCAGGTGCTTTATCATTTGAGTCATGCTAGCGTTCCTTTTTGCTTTAGTTATTTTTCAGAGATGGCCTCACTTTTTGTCCAGGTTGGTCTGACTGTGGCCCTCCAACTCCACATAGCTGGTGTTACAGAAGTCCACCACCATGCCTGGCTTGTTTTGTTGAGATGGTGGGGGGGTCTCACTAACTTTTTCTACTGGGCTGGCCTTGAGCCATGATCCTTTTATCTCTACCTCTCAAATAATTAGGAGTACTTTACTACTTCCACTGCTCTCAGCTTCATGCTAGCCATCATTTTCTCTCATATGGAAAATTATATCCTCTTTAACTGGTTTCCTTGCTTTTACCATTTCTCTACTCTAGTCTATTTAATCACAATTCAAGATTATTCTCTTAAAACATAATCGTAATTGCTCACTTTGCTCCAAACCCTGAACTGACTTCCTAGCTTACTTAGAATGAAAGACAAAAGACTTACAGTGACCCATATGTCCCTACATAATCTCTCCTTACTTATCATTTTCAACCCTTCCACTCTGACACCATTATTCTGCTCCTTCATTCCATATTAGCCTTTCTGGCCTCATTGTTGTTCCTTCAACTTGTGCATCTTTCCACCTAACTTCCTTGTTAAATTCATAATGTGCTGATTGATGTTCTAGGTGCTGGAGATGAAAACAATGAATTACATAGTTAAATGGTACTCATTAAGGAGACATTCTCTTGGTGGAGTGGAATGGGGTGGTGAGTGAACATCAATAGTAATAAGTAAAGCTGTTTATTGGATGAGAAAGAAGCAAAAATGGAATAATATAATTCAATTTTTGTAACTCAATGTGCATTTTGTGTGTGATTATGAGCTTAATTATACTGCATAGAGAAATAAATGTGAAACAACATATACCAGATAGTTAATATACATAATGTGGATTGTTTGTTGGGAGAGATTGATGTTAAGTACAGAAAGGATGAGGTTGAGGGCCTATAACACAGCAAAAAAACTTACTGAAAAAGGAATTCCACCACTTTAATTTCATTTCTATGCTTGCGGGTGATGAGGGAAGTGACAAGTTCTTACAATTGGACAGGGAAACCTTCCAGCATTTTTTTTACCTTTAGTAACACACAGGTGTCTTTTCAAATAAGTACTACAATCACTCAAATTGCTGTTTATATCGTAAAAATCTTTCACAAGGCATCACAACAATTTCAAAAATCCAGGCACCTTATAAGCATCCTCTGCACTAATAACAATTCCAAGTATAAATATATATAAACAGATAATAGAAGAGAAAATAGTGCTATCTATATTTATGCAGGCCTTCTGTGGGACAGTCAAACAAGGTGGGGATTGTGTTCCTGTTTTCAACTTGGCATCTTATTATTCTATGAAATATGAGCAGAAATCTTTAAATTTTTTCTGAGATGCTTTTTTGTTCATAGTTATTAAGAAGACTTGCATTTTCATTTTTGTTATATTGTATTAAAAAAAGAACAAACAAGTTAAATTTTACTTTTACTTAATGTAATAAGGAGAGGCAAGAAGAATTTTCTTTAATAATACTGCATGAGAATGTTCTTCCTTACAGGAGTTGCTTTCAGTAGATTAAAAACCAAAGGGAAAAGAAACAAAAAAGGTTGTACTAAAATTTATGATATTATAATAAAAACTTATGTAAAATTAAAATGTAATATGTACATTAAGTAAAATTTTTTAAATTCCTAAGTCATTTTTATTATGGTGCAATTTCAGGACCCTCTAACACTTAAACTGTCTCCTCAAATTTTTTATTTTTCAAAGAATAAATTCTGTTTCATGGTTTTGTGTTCATGTTAGCAATATCAGAACCAAAGCTTCTAACATTCATACCTTTTAAAAATGTATGTACTTGTGAACATAATATTCAGCACATCACTTGAAGGCAATTATTTAACTAATTAATGTAGTAGGTTGGAATCAAACCAAAGAGAGGAGTTCACCTTTTCTCTTCCTCCTCACTTTTCTCTTATTCCTCACTTTTGAATTTTGTGTGTGTGCATACGGTGCTGGGGATGGAACCCAGGGCCTTGCAGAGCTAGGCAAGTGCCCTGAGCTATATCCCAGTTCTGAGTTAGTTTTTATGTGACTCTTTATAATCTAAGCTTCTGATCTCTGACTGTGATTGAGGTTGTGGGATTCATCTTGCTAACCAGCATGCCCAAATCTTCAGTATTAGCTGTCTCCCGTGTGTATTTGATTAATGCCAGTGAGTACTGGTTTCTACTTTGCCAATAAAGTTTAAAGCTTTCCGTGAAGATTCTGCCTGGAGAAATACTATCTGAAACAAAGTGATGTACATCTCCAGATGCTCCTAAATCTTGCTGCTATATAAATAGGAAAAGGTCTTTTAAATAGATTATCCTGAGACAAAGGAAGTCATCCTAGAGAGGCAATTCTAATTCCTGAATCTGTGAAACCTACTGAGTTTTAAGCCAACTTTAAGATCCCTGGTCTTCAGGGGCGAAGACCAAAAATTTGCACAATAGCAGTCTAGTTATGTAAGATTTGGATGAGTTATGTTATCTAAAAAACAACACAGAGTCATAGTCACCATTATGGTTGATTTGACTCAGATTTTCCTCAAATGTGTTAGTGAGGGCCTGAGAGCCTCTGCACTTGGGATTTTCTTCTCCTGGAATACTTCATCTCTCAGATATCTGCATGAGTTATACTCTCACTTTCTGCAAATGTCATCTTAACGGTGTCCACCCTTTACATTTAAAGAGAAATAGGACCCACTCTCTACTCCACTCCCAGAACTATCCCTCTTACCCCACTCTGCTTTTCTTCATATCAATGATCACCACCTGACATACTACAATTCTTTGTTTGTGCTCCTTTAATTAAGAATGTAAGTTCCATGGAGGTGGAGAGTAGGAGAAGCCACCATTGGATATTTTGCTTACTGCTAGAGAGAGCCTAGAAAACTTCCAGGCACAAAGTAGAGCCTCAACAATTACAGTGATTATTGGATGGGTGAGTAAAGAGATACAGCTTATTGGGAGTCAGCCAGTCTGGGGAAGGTCATTCAAAGGTAGGGTCCAACTCCCAGGTAGCCTCCTCCTCCTCCTCTGCCACGTTAGTGGTCATTAGGAAAATAAGGAGAAGATGTGCACACCCAGAGGCTGTTAAGTGTGTTCTCCTGGGGGAAATGGCCCCTTGCCCAGCCAGCCAATGGGAAGAGAGACTCGCTGGGCGGGGCGGTGGAGCATCTAACCAAGCTGTGCAGCCAACAAGGCTCTCGCATCCGTCTTGCTGCGCTCAAAGAGGGAGGAAGGAGAGGAGGCCTTAAGGGCCAAACGTGGAAACCTCCTTTTCTCCTCCAACAGTAAGTACCCGTTGAGCTTTCCGTTTCAGGTTTTCCTTTCCCTATGAGGTTCCTGGCTTTCAGCTCTGGGATTTAAGCTTTGCCACCAACGCCCATTGGGGTTCCAAGGTGTGGAATGACTTCCTTCTTGAACGTGTTTTGCCGGCTCTAGAATAGGAAAGACTCCGTGGGAATCCTTCTGGCACCCATGTTCTGTGTGAAAACGGAAGGGGATGTCTCCCCTCCCCCCACCATGAGAGTCAAGAACAGCTGAGGCCAGGACCCCCGGGGTGTGGGAGGCGAGCGCGCTGGAGATGCGGTGTTCAGGCGAGGGTCTGCGGTCTCCAGGGGCAGGAGCGGGCGGGAAGTCAGAAGCGGAGTTCACACGTGAGTAAAGAGTAGCTTTACTCATTCACTTACGTACTTAGCTTGAAGACCTGGTATCGCTTGTAACTCGTAAATAGCGTGCTGAGGCCACTCCTTTGATCTCCGGAGTTAAAGTGCCAGGAATAGGACCAGCTCTGATAGTGCCCAACTGCTCAAGAGGCAGAGATGGGCCAGCTGCGAATCCTCGATGGATTCAAGGCCAGCGGCGGTGGGGAAAAAGCCCAAGACACTGTCTGAAAAACAAAAAGGTCTGGGGGCATGGCCCAAGTGGTGAAGCACCTGCCTAGCAAATGCGAGGCCCTTAGTTCAATTCCCCTTGACTCCCAGTACTGCCCCAGCACAGTAGTATGAATGATTTTCACCTGTCTTGATAAATTCAAGCAGCCTCTTTTGTCTGTGCAGGAAGCAGATGTTTGCACTTCATCCCATGCTATTCCAACTACCTGTACTCGGCTGCCATTCCTCCACTCTTCCTCAGCACTCATTTCCCTACTAAATGAAACAACCCGCTTAAAAATTGCAGTCCTGTGCTCCTCAATATCTCTTCTCTTCCTTCCAAGTTCTAAAGTTGCCTTCTAACCCATAGTAGTGAGGCTTTATCACCTCCACCACTCTATCCCAACCTAAAATTGCTCTGTACAGAGGTTACCAATGATCAGACACCCACCAAATTCAAGTACAGGTTGTAGGCATTAATTTCTCTTATCTCTGAGATTTGACAAATGCGTACTGCCTTTTTGCTGTAATGCTGCACGAGTTCCCTGTTTTAATGATTGGAAAAAATCAAGAGTGAGCCATAATTTATACATTTGTTTCATTATCATAATTTGATTATTCATTGAGAATTATTCTAATTAAGCACCCTTATGCACAAAGTATTTTTTCCTGTATTTCTGATTCTTTGCATTGGATAATTTTCTAGAGAAAAAAGTACTGATTGAAAAACTATACATGTTTTTAAAGTTGTGGACATTCAGCTTTCCAAAGGTATAACAATTGTAATTTATCTGCTAAATCCCAACTCTTATCAAATGGCATTGTTTTTTAAAGCTTATTTTTGTCATTTTAAAATGGAGAAGTTATATTTCCTGATGTGCATTGGTTAGGTTTGAACATTTTCTGAAACTTGAACTTGTTAGTCATCTGCTCCCCCCCCCCACCCAGTCTATTGAAAATGTTCTCTATCCTGATCTGTTTGTCTCATGCCTTTGTGGTGACATAATCTAAAACAATCAAGTTGCATTCGATTTGGATTTCACTGGTGGTTTATTATTTGTTGTTGTTTTGTGGTTTTTTTTTTTTGGTGGTCTTGGGGTTTGAACTCAAGGACTCACACTTGCTAGGCAGGTGCTCTACACTTGAGCCACTCCAGCAGCCCTTTTCTGGTTGGGATTTTTTGAGATCGGGTCTCATGAGTTATTTGCCATGGCTGGCTTTGAAACACTACCCTCCTGATCTCTGCCTAAGATTATAGATGTGAGCCACCGGTGCCCAGCTCATTAGGTTTTTCGTAGTGTTTTTTTTCTATTCCTGGATCCTGTCCAGGATCCCATATTGCAATTAGTCTCCTCTGATCTGTGATGATTTCTTAATTTTTTCTTGCTTCTGATAACCTTGGCAGTTTTGATACCTACAGGTATTTTGTAGCATGTTCCTCAACTTGATTTTGTCTCAATTGTTCCTCATGGTTAGACTGAGATTGTGGGTTTGTGAGAGGAATAATATCACAGTGGTGATGTGCCATTCTCATCACGTCAGTGGTACGTTCTGTCAACAACTTATGCCTGGTATCAACCTTGATCAAGGGGCTGTTCAAAATGAGATTTCTTGCTATGAAGTTGCTTAACTCATCCCATATTCTACTCTTTGAAAGTAAATCACTAAGCATAATCCATTCTTGGGGGGGTGGTGCAGAGAGATGGAATGGGGTTAACACATACCACCTGGAGGAGGGAGTGACTACATAAAGTAGTTCTTTTATAAGGGAGACTTGCCTCTTGCCCCACTCATTCAAACATTTATACCAACATGGACTCATGGATATTTTTTTTTCTTTGTGCTACAATCCAAATATACATTATTTACTTTGGCTATTAAGGGCTTTTTCTGGTTGGATCCTGTGTCTTTTGAGTATACCCCATCCCTTTCCTTTCTGTTCTTAAAAGCTGCTCATCTTGTATAATCCTGGCCCCAACCCTACAATCAGCAGTTCCTCTGAGGAACTCTTTTTCCTTTTACTGGAAAATAGTATTAGAAACCAAGATTTGGGTCTGGGTGCACAGCTCCAATTTCTGTAGATAATGCCAATAGTTTTGAGGTGGTTTTATTTACATTTCAGTTGTTTGCCATATTTCCTGTTAACTATTTTTGCTGTTTCTAATTTACCTTTTATGTTTGTATTCTCATGGACAAGAGATTTTAATTTCAACATACTTAGTGTATTTCCTAATAACCTGATTCATTTCCCTTATTATACCCAAACTGCTTATTCTCTGATTTCCTAAGGTATGGTGAATATGCTGTACTATTTTCTCCTCAGGTTTTATGTATTAATGATTTAACAATTTACCATATATGGGCAATGCACATCTGTGAAAATACTGACTTAGTTTTGTATATGGCTTGTAAGTTGTCCTACTAAACTGCACTGAATGCTTCCCTATCCAATTATGGGATCTCTCCTATCAAATGTTAAAATCTCATGGGAATGTTTCTGGTATGTTTACTTTTTTTTTAACTTATCATGGTTGTGGTTGTACTAGTACGGCTTTTGGAATTGATTTCAACTGCAGACAATTTGCTGACTTGTAGACACTTGGCAGTATATGGAGCTATGGTTACATGTCACAGCTGTGAAAGATCAGAGTTCTAATGGTAATAAACATATAAAAATGGCCCTCAAAGAATTATCTAGCCAAAAATGTTAGTAATGTTGAGGTTGAGAAACTGCTATGTGAGATTCTACTAGACCAACTAAGAAACGAAATCAGGAAAGAGTGTATGAAAAGAATTAAGAATAAGTTGTGTTATAGGTTAAATGTCACTTCCCTCAAGACCTTCTCATCTGTACCTTCTCTAGTAAAGAGTCCCTCCTTTGTAGTTTCCTGTAATTAAGGTAGCTCAGATGGCTGACATTCAGAACGCTCCTTTTTTCAGTAGCCTAGTACTAGACACAGAATCTAGTATCATAGAACATAGCCACGCAGATTTCACATAACTCCAGTGTCTAGGAAAATGAAGTTAAAAGGAAGTGCTACATAGACAGTGAGCTTTATATTTTGATAGACCATTTTTCGATTCTGTGACCTAGGTAACTGTCTTAATTTCAAAGTGTCTGTATATGTAAAATGTGGATGAAACAAAACTTTTGGGACTACTTTTAAAACTAGAGAACAATTGCTTAAAGAACAGTAGGCCCTTAACATATATAGTCATTATTGTGAGCTGAATGAGTAATTTATTTTGAACAAATGTTTTAATTATCCTAAGTGGTAAAATTCAATGCCATAAATTTGCAAATTGAAATCTCCTCAGATCATGGGTTCTCATTTTAGTTGAGAACATTTTGGGATAAATGAATGCCTTCTCATAAACGAAGCTGTACCAAATATGTTTTCCTCTTTCTATAAAAAAGGCCACTAAATAGCAAAAATAAATTAAAAAAAAATTCCATCATGAACAATATAAAACCTTTAGGAAGGAAGTCAGAGTATATTGTACTTTACCGGAAGTGTAAGAATCAAACTCAGTAGGGTTCAAATCTTGATTTGAAAAGGTACCCAGGAAGGCAAGAGGAATGTGAAGAAAGTGTGGGATTATGAGAGTAGAGGAGAGAAAAAATATCAATATGTAAAGCATTGTTAAAATTTATTAAATCCGGAGCTGAGGCAAGAGAATCATGAGTTTGATCACACAATGAGATCCTGTCTCAAAAAAATGCATTATTAAGCTTATGGCACCTTGTAAATTAAGTGCATGCATTAGCTTCTTTAATCCTTGAAAGGTAGGTACTCTTGGAACTCCTGTTTACAGATTAGGAAAATTCCAAGATTTCTTTTGGGTTTTGCAATAGGATGATAATTAGTATGGGGTATCTCAATGGAATCATGTCAAAATGAGATTGCAGTGGATTGAGGATGTATAATGGAAAGTAAAATATAGAAACCTCTGAAGTTTGACTGTGAAGATGAGTATGTGGAATAAAGGAACCGTTTGTTAAAGACCTTATCAGTTTTGAGCATATTTAAATGCTAATGAAAGACCTAGAAGAGGAGTTGCTGATGCAGATGAGATTAAATTACTGGTGGAGGCATGAATTCTATAGTAAAGGGGAGAGGATTCCTTTGTTACAGGAAAGAAGAGTCCTGTAAGCAGTAATATCAGTAAATTGCTAGGCAGGAAGTTGAAGATACTGTGTTCTATAACTTTTCTTCACTTGTATTCTGTATATTCTAGAGAAATTTCAGTGTTCTTAAGTTTTCAAATTTGTTCCCCTTTTTAAAAAAATTACTTAGAACTTGTTTTGTCATATTTATCTATAATCTAGAATGTTTCTGTAACAGTTTAAAAACTAAAATTGCTAATAACTCATTGGTATCTGTCAGATAAAATCCGGATTAGTATGTAAGTTTTGAGATAATTGACCATCCATTTAAGAGGTTAAATTTTTCCTTTTGTACATTTTTATTTTCACCATGTATCTTTTCCAATATCATTAGCAAGGAGATGGGAGTTGATGTCAAAAATGTAAGAATGCTCTTTCAGATGTCCTTTAAAATTGAACTCACCCACAATAACAGCTGTGGAGGGAGGTGGCAGGAGCTTGTGAACTAACAACAAACCCATTATGCATGGATTTGTGACTAGAAATGACATGAGGAGATGGTAGCATATTCCTATTACTTGCATGTCCATCAAGAATAACAATGCAGGGGTGTAAATATAGGCTAGATACAGGTTAAGTGTTTGTAGGGAAAAGAAGGGATGAGGAAAATAACCAAAACTTAGTGTAAGCCTGTTTTGGGCAGGGTGATGTATGAACCCTTATTTGATATAGTTCTCTGAAATTGACTCTCATATCACCACTTTAAAGAGGAGTAGACTGAGGTTCAGAGAGATGAATTGCCTTTCTTAATATGTATTTATAGCTCGTAAGTGGCAGCACTGGGAATAAGCCCTAGGAGAGTGGAAGAAATACAGGAGTCTATATTAGAGGAATGTTTTATGATAGAAAACCACTACAGAGGATACTAGGTCAGTACCAAGTCTTATATAGTGGGTTTCAACAACTGCTTATTAATCTATATTTCTAGAGCTATTTCATTTCCATAAGTCTCACTCTGTTTTCTTAAATTATTTTTCCCCATGAAGTTTGAATCCTGACTTGTGGACAAGATGGAAGATTCATCATTGTCATTTTCCTTCTTTTCTGATTTTGGGCTGCTATTGTATTTGGAAGAGCTAAATAATGATGAATTAAATAAATTCAAGTTACTCCTAAAGGAAACTGTGGAACCTGGGCACTGCCCAATCCCCTGGACTGCAGTGAAGAAGGCCAAGCGGGAAGAACTGGCCAACTTGATGAACCAATATTATCCAGGAGAGCAGGCCTGGAATGTGACACTCAAGATCTTTGGCAAGATGAACCTGAAGGATCTGTGTGTGAGAGCAAAAGCAGAGATCAAATGTGAGTGAGACTAGGGAAGGAAGTGTTTCTTGGAACCCACTGAATGATTCTGTAAAAAGGACTTAGGGATTAAACCATTCTGAGGGTCACAAACTCTATGGTGGTCTTATACATGGTGAACTTGTTGGATCAATTGAGGAACACTGAAGAAACAGCAGGATTTTGAGGGTTTTAATTCGCCTACCTTGTACCTCTTAAAATGATTTAAGGAATTAATTGATAGGAATTATCCTATGTAATGTGTACCTTTACCTAAACTGCAAATAGTATAGACTAAATCTTGAGGCATCCCTAATGATTTAATATATTTGCTGAAATATGAGTAATTGGGTAAAAATTACTAAAGGACAAAGCCAAGCCAATATTTTTAGTCAATCCTAGGTAAAGATCAGGGAAGCCATGGAAACTGAAATTTTGTGACACGTGTCCCAGAGTTACAGGGTAGGGAATGGCAAGAGTTCTACTCCAGTGTTATTTGTACCACATCACTTCTTTCCTTAACAAAGCTAGTGGAACATAAGGCTCTGTTGGCTCTAGTTTTCTTAAATCTAGATGGTTGTAGAATTGGCCCCCTGAGAAAAATGCTGACTTCTGTTCTGGTCATCACCAAAGCTCTGTTTTCCGTAAATCTCATGATTCTGTTGGAACCTGTTGCAGGGGCAGCCCAGACCATGAAACCAGAGAATGCTAAGGCCATGGAGGTGGAAGCACAAAGAGATCAGGAGGCAGTGATGGGTGAGTAGATGGGCCTTTTGTCAGGATCTGAGCTTTTGAAGCATGATGGGCAATTTAGCTCCCAAGGGATGATTGTTCAACTTAACTTTTTTCTAATACCCCACCTGTCTCCTGAATTATTATTCAGGAGAAGTCAATAAAACTGGCTCTCTATCATCAGTCAGTATCAGGGCCATGTTGACTCAAGGCCTCAAGAAAGCAGTATTTGGAAATGTCCAGTTACAAGTTGAAGTCTGAATAAGGTATATCCTTCCATGTTAATGTTTTGTGGATTAAAACATCCCTGACTTGGCCGGGACCATTTCAGCTTATCACATGTATTTCCCTTCCTTTAGAGATGGTACAGTAATTGAGTTCCAAAGTGGTAGCTACCTAGTGCACATAAAATACCTTTAGAACAGGCCTTCTCAGTCCTAGTTCAATACCATTTCATTTCCCTTACTTTGTTTTGAATCCCTTTTATAAATGGAATATAACGAAAACAAAACTGGTCCAAGTGATGAGTGTTTATTCTTAATCCAGCTATTCTGCTTTCTAAAGGAACACATTATTGAAGAAATAATTGAGAACCTACTTCATTCCAAGCACTAATAAATACAAATCACTTATAGTTTTATGTGACCGTGAATATAACTTCCCACTCTGACCTTACTTTATAATTCACCAGAAGGAAGTTGATTTTTGTGGTATGAGAAAAGACTAAAGTTTTATTATTTCAAACCCAATGTGTAGTTCTCTCACATGCAGAGATTTGCACACAATTAGCTAAATACCTCCATATTATTTGGCAATCTGTGGTAAAGGTAAACTGTACTTAGTATAGAACCTTCGGAAAGCACAAATTAGAAAATATGAACAGTAACTTACTGATTCTCCTCCCTCTGAGCACCAACTGCTACCGTTTCTTCATAGGAGTTGGTTGATAGTGTTCCCTTCCCTTCTACCTGGCTAATCATGGTTTTTAAAAGATTTTTGGCTAATGTGTTTATTAATATCTTTGTTCAACTTCACACAAGTAAAATATGCTTTCAAAAGTATATTTTTAATGGATTCAAGTATTGTAAAACTACCATAAAGTGAGGTTCACACTCTTTCCATTTCCTATCTCCAGTCCTGCAATTTTGAAATAACACACCTGTAAATTGGCACTCAAGAGACTGAAGCAGGCCAATCTGGGCTACACAGCATGACCCTGTCTTGAAGAAAAAAGCAAAACAAAAAAAACAGTACTAACATTTTTGTGCATATCCTATAGGTTTTGAAAAATTTAAAGTTTATTTACCTTTTGTAGGACAGGGTCATAGTGTACATAGTTCTCTGAAGCTTGATTTCCTTTTTAGCTATGTAATTGACTTTTTTTGTATTTATTTGTGGTTTATTTTATTCAAACATTTCATAGTATTCAATTACATGGTTGCACTCTCTTTTTTAACTCAACAAATATATTTGGTATTTCTCGTGCACAAGAAAATGTGCTAGACTCTGAGCATATAATGATGTAATAGTGATATAGGTCTAAGTAAATAATTTCTTTAAAAAGTAAGTAGATAGTAAAGCTTGTGATATATGCTGTGAATGAAAAGTACAGAGTATTGAGAACATATGGGAGGGAGAACTATTCTAGAACTGAGGTTCAGAGAAAACTTCCCTAAGATGGTATCATTTTAAATAGAGACCTGAAGGAGGAATTAGACTTCACCAGATAAAGATAAAACTATATTTGCATTCTACTTGGACACTTGAGTTTTTTCCTCTCTTCAAAAATATCTAGGCTTTTCTTCAATATTCATTTCTACTAACTCCATACTTATGTAAAGGAGATTATTTGAATCTGTTGGTTCAAGTATTAGAGTCTTCCCTGGTTAATAACCGTATGTGTATTTTTTATCTGGATGATACTCTATTCTCCATATGTTTTTCTTTGATAGTGGAAAAGTACAAAGAAATTTCTAGAGCAAGTCTAATTTTTATATTCTGTCACAATTTTTTGGCATTAATTCTGGCTGTTTTATTTTAACTGCTTCTAATGCAAGTTTTAAATCTACAGGAATATTCTTATTTGTGCATTCTTCTAAAGGCTAAGCCAACTTTGATTTCAGCCTATATTAAAGCCCTATATTCTTATGATGGAAATGAATAGAATTTGTATTGATTGTGTCTATTTTTCCCCCCTCCTTCATTCTAATTGACTTAGGTGATGGAACAGGATATAGAATGAAAATAAAGGAAAAATTTTGCATCGTGTGGGATAAGAACTCTTTGCTCAGAAAGCCTGCAGATTTCCATCATGGAGTGACTCAGGAAGAGCGAAAACTCTTGGAACATTTGTTTGATGTGGATGTCAAAACTGATAAGCAGCCACGGACAGTGGTGCTTCAGGGAGCTGCTGGAGTTGGGAAAACAACGTTGATGAGAAAGGCAATGTTAGACTGGGCAAAGGGCAGTCTCTATCAGCAGAGGTTTGCCCATGTTTTTTATCTCAATGGGAGAGAAATTAGCCAAATGAAAGAGAGCACCTTTGCCCAGTTAATATCAAAGGACTGGCCTATCACAGAAATTCCCATTGAGCGGATTCTATCCCAGCCAAGTAGTCTCCTTTTTATTATCGATAGTTTTGATGAACTGAACTTTGCCTTCGAGGAACCTGAGTTTGCACTGTGTGATGACTGGACACTGGTACACCCAGTGTCCTTCCTCATGAGTAGTTTGCTGAGGAAGGTGATGCTTCCTGAGTCGTCCTTATTGGTGACAACGAGACTCACAGCTTCTAAGAGACTAAAGCCTTTGTTGAAGAGCCAGCGTTATGTAAAGCTACTAGGAATGTCTGAGGATGCAAGAAGGGAGTATATTTATCAGTTTTTTGAAGACAAATCATGGGCCATGAGAGCACTCAGTTCAATAAGAAACAATGAGATGCTTTTTAGAATGTGCCAAATCCCCCTGGTGTGCTGGATTGTTTGTACTTGTCTGCAGCAGCAAATGGAGAAGGGCAGCAATATCACAATGATCTGCCAAACAACCACATCTTTGTTTACATGCTATATCTCAAACTTATTTTCACGAGTAGATGGATGTTCTTCTAGTCTACCTAACGAAGCCCAGCTGAGGAGCCTATGCCGCTTGGCTGCCAATGGTGTGTGGACCATGACACATGTGCTTTACAAGGACAATCTCAGAAAACATGAGTTAACCAAAATCGATATCTCAACGTTTCTGGACATGAATATTCTTCAAAAGGACACAGAGTATGAAAACTGCTATGTGTTCACCCACCTCCACATTCAGGAATATTTTGCAGCTATGTTTTATATGTTGAAAGTCGATTGGGAAGCCAGAGACCATTCTGTCCAGTCTTTTGAAAGCTTGAAGCTGTTACTTGAAAGCAAAAGTTATCAATACCCCCATTTGACACAGATGAAGTGCTTTTTGTTTGGCCTTTTGAATGAAGATACAGTAAAACAACTGGAGGAAACTTTTAACTATAAAATATCTCCAGAGATAAAATGGGAGTTACTTCAGTGGATGGAAACATTAGGGAACAGTGACTCTGCACCATCACAGCTGGGACTTCTGGACTTGTTTCATTACCTTTATGAGACTCAAGATGAAGCATTTGTAACCCAGGCAATGCAATATTTCCCAAAGGTTGTCATTAATATTTGTGAAGAAATACATTTGCTTGTGTCTTCCTTCTGCCTTAAACACAGCCAATGTTTGAGAACCATGAAACTATCTATTACTGGAGTATTTAAAAAGATGTTCAGTTCCAGCCCCACAGCTAAACCTGGGTAAGTATATCTGGGCAGTTTCCTGGAATTAACTTCTGGGGGAGTAAGGGAAGTAGATTTTATGAGCGGAGAGAGATACTTTGCCAAGGTCCCAGTGTTGGGATATTTGTTGAGTCATCTGTGGCAAGGAGGCCAGGCTTTTAAACCCCTTATTGACTAGTCATGGCTGCTGGTAAGCAATAGGCAAAAAACTTGCCCGAGAAAGCTTTCCTGGCCTAAAGGCAATTCTAGAGGAGGGACTGGGCTGAGAGCTCTCTGCTGTCAAAATTCTCAGCAACTCGAGGGGAATGAATGCTTTAGTCCTTAAGGAAAATTATGGTGCAAAGCATAAACTTGTGTCTATCATACTAAGTAAATTTTTAAAAACAACCCCCTCCAGAAGAATAAAGGATCAGAAACCTTTTGCTGAAGCTGGTGTACATAGCCAATATATTTGTCTTATCTCCTCCACCCTCTAATCCCACCTTCCCCCCCTCCCCTACTCTGCTGACCTAGCTCAACTTGCCATTGCCTAGACAACTTGCCTAGACAAAGGTGGGCCTTGTTTTGTAGTTTATGAAAGGTCTCAGTTCTTTAATCTTTATCTGGAGACTTGCAGAGGTTAGAAGTCACTACCAGGAAATGTAGAAGAATGAACTTTCTGCATTTTATATAGAATACATATAAAATATATAGAATATGTATGCCGTGTAGTTTATCTCATCCCTTTCATCAAGTTGGCTTTTCTCTGTCCACGTAAATCTGGAGGAAGAATTGAACTATAGAATTCAGTTCCAGATTTAACTAAAATGTGATAAAATTATATAATCAGATACTTCACATATTTTCCAATTTAATTCTGATGGCAACATAACTGTAATATACATACTCCATTTTTAAGATTCTGAAACTAAGATTCAAAAAGATTTACCTAGAAAAATAACTAGATTAAGAAGTTAACATTTACTGAGTGCCTATTACATACCTGACCTGAGTCTTTTGACTCATTTAGACTTTAGCTCTCCTATGAGGTAGATAATTTTTCAGTTTTACTTAAGAAGAACCTGAGTGACCTCATGTAACATCCCTTATTTATGTTGTAGAGTTATCTGTGGCTAGGATTGACTTTGTTGCTAAAATAAAAGTATTTGAGAGCCCAGTGCTTTAAAGGGATATTGTAGGTGACCTTAGTTGTCTTATTCAAAATAATTAGATTGTGAGCTTCTATTTTTGTCTCACTCACCATTTTGTATGTAGGAAATGGGTGAATGTTTGAATGATTCTTTCTTCAAAAATTTAATACTTCAAGTGGTAGGTAGATCACCATTCTGTAGTATCACTAAAGTCATTACAATTTAGTTAAGATATAGGAACCAATATTGAGTAACATGTTATTGTTGTACATATTGAGCAATATGTGCAAGGTAACTTTTGTTTTTACCCCTATTCTTTGAGAGTTGTCTGGCCTGAAGTAGATTTACTGATCTTTTATTTTTTAAATTATATAGGAAAAAGGATGTTTATCACATTACTCATTGTTGGCAAGAACTCTGTACAGTGCTTCATAGAAATGAACACTTGAAAGAACTAGAGCTGTGTCACAGCAACCTTAATGAATTAGCAATGAAGATTTTTCATCAAGAACTAATAAATCCAAAGTGTAAACTACAAAAACTACTGTAAGTCTGGCATTAGAAATTTTAATGTTTTTTTTTTTTTTTATTGTTATTCCACCTTCCACTCTTACTTGTTAGGGGAAACCATTAGTAAACAGAAAGTCATGAAACACATAAGGACATTTTAGTCAACAAGACTTGATGGTGGTCCCATAAGATTCTGTGCCTAGTGTCCTTATAGCCATTTTTGTGTAAGTAGTCTATCATGTTTACACAATGTTGAAATTGCCTAATGATGCATTGTTCAGAACATATCCCATCATTAAACAAAATACTCATAAGAATGTGAACAGGGAAAACTTCTGAGGATACAGGAGCATAACTAACTTGTTCCGGGAAAGAGTCCATGAGTGCAGTATCGTTGCGAGGTCACGGTTATGAATTTTCTAGATGGTAAACACAGAGCTAAGATACTCTAGGCAAGTCAGAAAAGCACTTTCAAAGACATGTTGTGGAACTTACTATTTTCTTAAACTTTTTCCTATTAAATACTTTATATTCTATAAAATGCATAAATATTAAATGTGACAAGTTTAATGACAAGTGTAAACAACTGGATCAACAACCAAAACAAGACAAAAAGATTTTCATCTCAGAAAGCTTCCTTGTTCATTCTTCTCATGCCACCCAATCCCAGAAGTAATCATTTTCTAATCTCTGCCATCACAGACTCTTTCCAAGAAGAGACTTGGAAATCATTTAGGTTGAATAATACAGTACATATTTTTGTCTGCCTTTTAGTCAACAAAATGTTTTTTAAGTTATCTTTGTTGTGTGTTGTAAGTTTCTTTTTATTGCTGATCAACAGGTCATTGTATGGATATACAATTTTTTCTCTCAATAGATCCCGGGAGGGTTTTCCAATTTTTAACTTTTATGAATAAGGCTATGAACATTAGTCTTTCTGTGATATAATTTTCATCTTTCGTTAATACTTGGCACTGAGATGACTAGTTCATAAATGTATGTCTTAAGAATATGCTAGTTTGGCAAGTGATTGTACCACTTCATAGTTCCACCAAAAAAATATGAATGTCTCAACAACTGTTCATGCTCTGTAACATTTACTGTTGTCAGTCTCTTAAAATTTTTATCTTAATTTAATCCTAGATACCCTCACTTTTTAAAGTATACTTGTTTGCATAGCTACTTGTCCTTTTATTGGCTCTCCAAGGAACTGTTTCTACTTCTATGTTCATTATCTATCATGTGCTCAAGGTCTATTTGGTACTTAGGAATATGTATTGAATGCAGAACAAATAATAGTTTCTTGTTTCCATTATCACTGAAAATGTTCTTTTAGGGGGAGACAGGCTTCTCACCAAATACTTTCCTCAGAATCTCAGTGGTTTTATTGAGTTCTGATCATAGATTTCAAATAACTAAGTTGATTCTGGTCTTACAGATAGATGGGATGAGAACATTGGATATATGTTACAATTAAGAGGTTCCTGGAAATTCCTTTTACCTAGCCCTGAGCATCTTCCCCAGGTTGTCCCTTCACTGAATGTCACCAATTCAAATATTACAATCAAGTGCCTTCTTTTGGGTCAAATGGCTTCCACTTTGAGAATACAAGGGTCACTCAGAGGGATGACATCATGGAGACCAGTCTGTCTTTGCCACCTTGCAAGTGAGACTGTGCTTCCAATTTATATTTACAAAGTGCCTTCAGCTGAGGATGGTTAGTGATATAAGTGGGTGAAATTTAATTTTCATGTGGGTACTTGCCTAGGGGAACAAGGACTAGAGGAAGAGAGTGGGTAGTGGGCAGAGAGGGGTGGTGGTATTACAAAGGGAGGTTTTGAACTGTTAATGAGACTGAAAATTTAGGGCCAGCAGAAGCACTATCGAATCAGATATGTCTAATATTGGTGTAATTAGGAGATGAGAAACATTGGAAGATTTATTTCTTACTCTTAGAACTGCCTCTCTGTACCCATCAAAAGTCACAAGATGACAGCATATTTGCAACAATGTATTTTGTTAATGATGCACATCAAATAGTTGAGGTCATCTATGTACTTATTTTGGATTATGTAGAGAACTTAATTATTGTGAATTCATGTTTTAGTTGCAGTATTTGAAATGTTCTTGATCATTTTGATAATCATTCCTAAAAGTTCAGAGGCTCCTCTGTGCATTTCCTGATGTTATCAGCTTTTCCTTTAAGGTCAAAAAGATTGGGAATATGAGTTGTCAGGATATAAATTGAAATCTAAGTTGTAACTTAATTGCATTTTTAAGCAATATCCTGAAACTTGGATTTATAGCATGACCTGGACTATGAGAAAGCCAGAGTCAGATAAGCGTAAGATAAGAGAATATTCACAAACTATCCAAGACTTACATGTGAAAAGACAGGGATGCTATAACCAGAGATAGAGATGATTTTGTAACCCCTCTGAATATTTTTCTTCTGAAGGTTGACATTCGTCTCTTTCCCTGATAATTATCAGGCTGTCTTTAGTTTTTTGCCTCACAACCAGAATCTGATGCATCTTGACCTGAAAGGGAGTTGCATAGGGGATAATGGAGTAAAATCCTTATGTGAAGCCTTGAAACACCCAGAGTGTAAACTGCAGAATCTGAGGTAAGTCTTGAGGTTTTTGTTAGTTTATACTTGCATCTGTCTAATAGACTCTTGTAGCCTAGACTTGTTCATAGAGGTACCTTAAAAATCTACTTTAGAGATAAAATTGGAGGGATCAGTAGTCAGGCTGATATTCCTCCTGATAGAACTTTTCACTCCCCTTATTCCCCACTGAAGACTTTTCATTGTATAATTCTATGTCTTCATCTCCTAAATATGGAAAAAATGAAAGCAGACCAAGAATTTATAAACATTTAACATTTTTCATATTTCAGCATTGGGATGTATTCATTGTATCTTTGAACTCATTGAAAAGAATGCATTTGTAACAGGCAGCGATGCTGGGTCAGGCTCAGTTTTACTTGATTTGTGATGATAAATCCCCCTCAACTTGTAACTGCAATTCAGCAATGAGCCCAGAAGGTTGAGAAAGAACAGTGTGGCAACTGTCAACTGTCAAGGTGCTTGGTTGCTGGCATGTACATTGATCTCGGTGGTGGTCTTCTAGTTGATTTTCCTTATGAATGTGAGGATTCGTAGTCATTTGGTCACCACAGTGTCTGATAGCTTTGTTAAAGATCCTTTTTTTCCAATAAAAGTCAGTTAAATCAGTTTGACAAAACAGAAAAAAGTCATTACAGAAGGTTTTATCTTAGAAGTTTGGTAATTCCTGAACTCAGTTCAGGGAGTCAAAACTGAACCTTGATGCATAAACAGCCAAGGTAGGTCTTATTTGTGGGAAGCAAAGTGTAATGCAGGCACTGGAGAAATAAGTGACTAGGCTTAAATGAGTATCATTTAAAGGTATAAACTCTTAACTTTTCTTTGAGACAGTCTCACTATGTAGCCCAGGCTGGCCTTGAACTCTCAGTTCTCCTGCCTTAGCATCCCGAGGGCTGGGATTATAGGTTCGTGCTACCATGCCTGCTCTAAACTCTAAGTTTTAAAACAGAAATAACGGAATGTAAGACTATGTACTGATTTTTGCTATCTTAATTTGACTAGCATGAAGAACAAATTGTAATTTTTTTTCTTTCCCTTTTTATTTCTTCTCTCCTCTCTCCTTCTCTCTCCTCCTCTCCCTCTCTGTCCTGCTGTTTCCCTCCTCTCCCTCTCTGTCCCTCTGTCTGTCTCCTCTCTCCCTCTCTGTCCTCCTGTCTGTCTCCTCTCTCTCTTTCTCTCGCTCTCTCGCTCTCTCGCTCTCTCGCTCTCTCGCTCTCTCGCTCTCTCGCTCTCTCGCTCTCTCGCTCTCTCGCTCTCTTGCGCTCTCTCGCGCTCTCTCTCTCTCTCTCTCCCTCCCCCTCATCCTCTTTCTCTCCCTTGTCCTCTCTCCTCCCCTCCCCCCTGCCTCCCCCTCCCTCTCTCCTCTTCACTCCCCTCTTAATTAACAGTACCATGATTTAAACTCAGCCTTGCACTTGCAAGGCAGGTACTCTACAACTTGAGTCATAACCCTAGCCCTTTTTTTACTTTAGTGATTTTTTTTTTTATAGGATCTTGTGTTTTTGTTTCATTGTCCCTCCCACACACCCCCAGGGCAAGCCTCAGGATCTTGATCTACTGTAGTTGGGATTACAGAATTGCAGCACCACACCCAACTTAACGTGTGTGTGGGGGGGGGGGAAGGGTTTTTTTTTTTTTTAATGGTATTGGAGTTTAAACTGTTGGGCTTGCAAGAGAGGCCTGGCCTGCAGCAACTTTCTGCTTTGTTTTTCAGGGAGGGTCTGAGACCTACTCAAGTCATAGAGTGCTTGCCTAGCAAGTATGAGGCCCTGAGTTCAATCTCCAGTACCACAAAAAAATTTAAAAAATACTTAGGCATATTAACCCCCAGAAGACCCTAAACATAGGCTATGAGTGAATCTATTTCCCTGTTTTTCTGGTTCATATTTAGTGATCAGTTTGGAGTCCAAATCCTCAACTCCCAGCTTTCCTTTTGATTGACTTCTCATTTATATTAAGATATAAGATATAATACATTAAAACTCTAGGAAAACAGGAAACAGAATATCTTACTCTGTTTTCCGTTCCTAATAATTACAGACAGGGTTAATTTTGGAGAGGTTGTGATAGGTACTGGTGGCTTATGTCTGTAAACCTAGCTACTCAGGAGGCAGAGGTCAGGAGGATTGTGGTTCAAGGCCAGTCTGGCGAAATAGTGCACGAGATCATATCTCAAATACCCAACACAAAAGAGGGCTGGTGAGTGTTTTAAGTGGTAGGTAGAGCACCTGCCTAGCAAGTGTGAGGCCCTGAGTTCAAACCTCAGCACTATCAAAAAAAATTTGTTTTGTCTCATGCCTCTGGAGGGGCAAGGTTGTGGGGCTGTATCTGGTAACATCCTTCCTGCTAAGAGTTCCCAGGTAGTACACAGCCACTACCTGGCAAGAAATAGGGCACATGTGTGTATACCTTCAGGTCAGTCACGAATATTCACCTACCTTAATGACCTTATCTAATCCTAGTCACCTCCCGAAGAGCTCACTTCTAAACACACAGTCAGATTAAGTTTCCATACTCTTAATACCTCACAATGGCAACAAAACTCCAACATAAGTTTTGGAGGAGAGAAACCATATCCAAACCATAGCACAGAGATATTTTTTATTACCTTATGCATATGAGAATGCCAATTATCTTTTTTTCTGATTTCTCAAAATATTTTCACTATTCCTTAAATTTAGGAATTGAATTTATTTGGATGTTATAAGAATGATACATTATGAAATGACAATAAAAATTCCAAACTTAGTAGTTAAGGCTTTACAATACATAGCAGTAATTTCTTTTTTTTTTTTTTTTTCATTTTTCTTTTATTATTCATATGTGCATACAAGGCTTGGTTCATTTCTCCCCCCTGCCCCCATCCCCTCCCTTACCACCCACTCCGCCCCCTCCCTCTCCCCTCTACCCCCTCAATACCCAGCAGAAACTATTTTGCCCTTATTTCTAATTTTGTTGTAGAGAGAGTATAAGCAATAATAGGAAGGAACAAGGGGTTTTGCTGGTTGAGATAAGGATAGCTATACAGGGCATTGACTCACATTGATTTCCTATGCGTGGGTGTTACCTTCTAGGTTAATTCTTTTTGATCTAACCTTTTCTCTAGTACCTGTTCCCCTTTTCCTATTGGCGTAAGTTGCTTTAAGGTATCTGCTTTAGTTTCTCTGCGTTAAGGGCAACAAATGCTAGCTAGTTTTTTAGGTGTCTTACCTATCCTCACCCCTCCCTTGTGCATAGCAGTAATTTCTAAAGTACAGTTGGAAGATTTCTTTGTTATAATGAAAGTAAAACAATCTGGTTTTCTTTCCAGCTGCAAAAGAGAGAACATTTTACACTTGAGGCCTATATTTCAATCATGTTGATTTAGGGTGCTCTGTAGCTGAAATTCCTTAATGCTAAGTAAAAGAATCTTGAGAAACACAATATGAAAAGGATAAGAGCAAAATAGATTATGAACAAATGGGTTATAGTTAAAAACACTTTTAAAGTTTTTGGTACCATTTGTATTTTCTCCTTTATAACGAGATATATCTTATTTCATGCATAGGTATGTCCAGAAATTTGCAATAAATGCCTGTTTTAACTGGTGATTATAATAGGTTCCCCCAAATGCTTGGATTATCAAATCAAAAGGTTTCGACAATTAACCTTATATAAGGCAATACATTTAGCCTACTTCTATCATAAAGTTCCAAGAATATTAACTTAATCTGGAATTATAGGGATTAGATATTTTATAATTTTGGACACTTGGAAAATTTTAATCATGGCAACATGAATACAGTCACTTAGCCTTATTTCTACATACTTAATTTTTGTCAATATATAATACCTGGTTTTTGTTTTCTTAACCTTACTATTGCATAAAATCTTAAGATCTTAATTTTGGTTCATTGCATTCTAGGCTGATGCAACTTTAAACTAATGTTTTCATGAAATGTATGTGAATTGTATCATTTATGACTCTATGACCTTTAGTTGCCTTCACGGATGTCCTTCTGTCTTCCTCCTTTCTCCACTTCAGGGATTTAAAAATGCTTTCACATGTGTTTTCTTAGGGAATTGGGAGATAAGAATGGTAGAGACAAGCTTCTGCTCTTCCCCTACTTAACTCTCAGAGCCTTAAGCATTTATTAAATAACTTGTTGTATGTAGGGAAGCTGGGTTTTTAGGCAAGGTCTCAAAAACTGAGAGATCCCCACAATTTGGATGAATGGAGGTTATCCTTTTCTGGGGTATGTCATTCCTGTTTTTCTGTATTTTCCAGGTTGGAATCCTGTGACCTAACTGCAGTTTGTTGTCTAAATATATCTAAGGCTCTCATCAAAAGCCAGAGCTTGGTATTTTTGAATCTATCGACCAATAATCTTTTGGATGATGGAGTGAAGTTGTTGTGTGAGGCCTTAGGCCATCCAAAGTGTTGCCTAGAGAGAATGTCGTGAGTCAATTTGTTTATAAATTGATTTGAATGGGGAAAAATGTTTGGGTCTTGACAATAACAGGCTCATTTTTCAGTCCTAGATGAATTCTGCATGTATCCTCCATTTGTTCCTCTACCTTTCTTTTTTTTTTTTTCATTTGGTACTGGGAATTAAACCCAGGACCTTAAACATGCTAAACACACCCTACCACTCTATCACTGGGTTGTACTCCCAACTGTACCTTCCTCTTATACTCTTAAACACTACTTATTGACCTTATTTTCATTCTTTTCTAGGCTTCTATGTTTATTTCATCCTATCCTATACACAGCTGCAATGGAATTCACAATTTAAGTAGGTTTGAGGTTTGTTTTACAGCAGAGGTATAGGAGTTGTAAGCATCAGCTAATTTCCTTGTGAAGAAGAGGGGCATGAACTTTGGGAATTGATGAATCCCTTTCCATCTGTGTTTCTCCTTCAGCTTAGAAAGCTGTGGCCTCACAGAAGCTGCTTGTGAGGATCTTTCTGTGGCTCTCATCAGCAATGAGAGGCTGACACATTTATGCTTGGCAGACAATGTCTTGGGAGATGGTGGAATAAAACTTATAAGTGATGCCTTGAAACATCCACAGTGTACTGTACAGAGCCTTGTGTAAGTGTTTTCATCTTTCCAATATAATGCATATTTTAAAATATATTTAAAGTGATGCTATAGTTCACATGTACCTCCCAGGGTTCATGTGTTGGAATCCTAATCTACAAAGCAGCAGTGTTGAGAGGTGAGACCTTTAAGAGGTGATAAGGTTATGAGTCAATGAATTACTGCCATCCTCAGGAGTAGGTTATCACAGTAGTGACTTCCTAATAAAAGAATGAGTTCAACCCTTTCCCCTTCTCTCTTTGTACACACTTGCCCTTCTGCTTCTTACTGTGGAATAATGTAGCAAAAAGGCCCTCAGCAGGCCCAGCACCTCAACCTTGGACTTCAGAACTGTAAGAAATACATTAGTTTTTTTAAAAATAAATTTCAGTCTTATTCTGCTCCAGCAACACCAAAAAGACTAAGGTAGACTGAGACCTATTTGGAACAAATTCTGTCTCTTGATTTTTCCCTACAATGACCATCAATGGTAATAGTATTAATAACTCCCATTCATTGTGTCACCCTATTTTGGACCCTGTGCTAAATTGGTTTAATCTACATAATAGTATGGTACCAAATTGGCTACCTGTGTTCTTGGTGCCTCACTGCACAGGTCAGGAACATGAGGCTTAGAAAGAAAATGCAGCATCTTGTCTAAGGTCTCACAAGAAAATGAATTGAGAACTAAAGTCTTCCAGCTATCCAACTGTATAGTCTGATATACAAATACCATTAAACAGAAATAAAACATTCCATTGTATGGCTAGATCACAGTGTGATCTTTGTTCATTTTTGCTAGATAATTTCCTAGATGTAAAACTCATAAGTTAGTGTTTTTATCAAATATGGTTAAATTGCCTTCCAGATAGCTTATCTCTTCCCTGCAGCAGTCTAAGGACTTGCATTTTATCCCACTGGATAAAGAGTTGAGAAATATTAAATAATCAGTATTAAATAGCTGAAAAATAAGTTTTAAAGTAACTGAATGTTGAGCATCTTTTCAAATGTTTTTGTCTTTTTATATTTTAGGAATTACTTCTTCATAGGCTGTTTCTGGATATTTTCTGTTCTGTGTGATTAATATAGCACATTATTTTTATATATTACAAATTATTTTCCTAGCATGTTTTATTTCCAACTTCCTTTATGCTTATTTTCAGAATATAGAATTTTAAACTTTATGTGAAGTCTAATCATGCTTCATGTCTTCTAGAAGTTTTATCATAACTGGAAATGCCTGCCTTTCAAAAAAAGCCCACTGAAATCATCTCTCATAATCCTTATAGTTTAATTTTTTTCTCCTTTTATTTTATCGTTTTTACACTTACTTACATGTGTATACCTTGTTTATGCCACCTCCCCCTATAGTTTAATTTTTAACATTTACATGTTAAATTACTCCAAATTTTACCATAAGGGTTATACTGTTTCCCCCCATGTATGATGTCTGTTGTACAAAAATCATTAATGGCACAATATCTTTTCCTTACTAATAGAAAATACCACTTATCTTACTACTCCTAATCCCTCTGCCTGCTCCTCTATTCCACGTAGCTACTTATGCAGCAGAGTACTGTATGTACAATGTAAAGAGGTTAACATTTGATTTATAGTAAGACAAACTATAAAGAATGTGAATCCAGTTTGGAATCAATTAGATATAGTCCTAAGTGTTCCATATCAAATGGGCTGGCAATGAGGGTGTCTGATATGATATAGAGTATTGTGAAGTAGATGGGGATCATAATATGAAACCTTTTCAAAGACATACATCTCAGGGCAGTAGAGCAATGGTTCCATCTTCCCTCCTATTGTCCTTCCTGTAGGCTGAGGAGTTGCCATTTCACTTCAGTTAGCAGTGAATATCTTGCAACTTCTCTTCTACACAACAAGAGCCTGACACATTTGGATCTGGGATCAAACTGGCTTCAAGATGATGGAGCACGTCGTCTTTGTGACGTTTTTCGACAAACAAGCTGTAGTCTTCAGGATTTGGAGTAGGTTTTCTGTAATTTGACTTTGGATAATTTTTATTTGTAGACTATCTGTGATGAAAGACAAAGTATGAAAAAGGCTGAGACATAAGTATCAGAGAAAGAATATAGAGCAGATTCTGTCATTCTGTCTGAGAATGGGGAACTATGTCAGATTAAAAGAATTCTCTAGTAATTATAATTAGTTTCCCTCAGTTAGGGGTATTCAGTGGCATCAGGCTGAACAAAAGCCATTTTTCTTTTCCTTGGTCGTGCCCTAGTGAGTCTGTTTGTCCTCTACTTTATATTCGCAAAGCTGAAATTGCTCTACTAGTTTTTATTTCAAGTTTATATTTAATCTAGGTTTCTAATTAGGTCAATGTTCAAAGAAACTGGGAAGGGGACTTAAAAATATATCCTATAGTTTACTTTTACAAGCAATGGTTTTTATTCCTATGTTCTTTGTCAGTGAGTACACATACATATGCATGCCCTGTGTATGTCATTGTGACTGTCGTGTAGGCATGACTGCAATTTCCTTTCTCTTGATATATCATTTCAGAAATACATTTGAATACTTAAATCATCTTGTATGAACTTAGGATATTAGTATTTAAGTATTGTGGCTAGAGTGGAGCAAGTTAGAGGTGCCGCTTAGCAGCCTTAGGTCACTTTCCCACTAGTGCTTCCCGTGGGACTGGTATGAGTAAGTCATTCAGGTAGACCCAGTATTTATTCTTTAGAAGTATTAATTCCAGCACTTAGTATACCAAAAAGTGATTGTTTTCACTGCACTGGATCATGATAACTACTGTAGTTTAGATACAGAATGTGCCACCAAGGCTCATGTGTTGATAACTTAGTTCTAGTTAGTAGTGCTGTAGGGAGGTGATGGAAACATTAGAAGGTGAGGAAATAGATTACTGGAGGTATCCCTTTGAAGAGTGTATTTTGTTCACTGCCCCTTTCTCACTTTCTCTGCTTCCTGGCTGCTATGAAGTAGCAAGCAGTTTTTCTGTTCCACACCCATCCACCATGATGTCCTGCCTCACTTCAGGCCCAGAAACAGTGGAACCAAGTGATCATGTGCTGAACATCTGAAACCATGAGCCAAAATAAACATTTCCTCCTTTTCAAGTTGCTTATCAAAGGTATTTTTCAGAGCAAGGAAACAATAACCAGACTTCCAAATGAGTTTAATAGTTTATTGTGACATCTGTAAACACTAAAGGTCACTGAATTCTTCAGTACAATATGCACTTGCATGTCCTTCAGGAAAATGTATATGATATAGGTTACTAGATGATTCTTTGAAATCCTTGATCATTATTCAACCAGAATGTAAAGTTGTACTTAATGGAAACTATTATTAAATCTAATGCCTCCATTTCCACTACAGAAATCTAATTTCTAAATGCCCTATGTGCTCAAGATTTTTGCTCTGCCAGCCTTTTCACTGATAAACATAGATAGGTTTGTGCTTTTAGCTACCTTCATAGTCTCTAAGCAGTCCATGCTAGTAGAACAAATAGGAGCTAGAGACTGAGTGACTAAAGGTCATTGAGAGATGCTTTCATCCTCAAGTATCAAAATGCTGATGACAGAAAAATAAATATAAAGCCAATTATATATTCCATATATTGGTATGGTATGGCAAATGCCTTATAGAGCAAGGAGTAGGACTTCACAGTAGAGACAGTGACTTGAGGCTTGAAAGATAGAGAATTTTGCCTCATGGGAATACAATAGGCACAATGAAAGAAGATTAAAAGGGAATAGCAACAGATGTGGTAGAGTTGGAGAAAAATGCATATATAAGGTTAGAAAATAGGGTGGAGGAAAAGCATGGAGGCAGGTTATGAATTCTCTTGAATGCCACGCAAAGGAGCTGGAAGAATATCTTTCTATGTGTACCTTGTTTGAAGATAACTCTTTGAGATGGAATCCTAGAAAGGTTTGTATTGCAAAAGTATATTAAAATAGAAATCATAGAGACCTGAAAAAGCTTATATTCAGTTTTTAAAGTATTGTTAGAATGTATTTATACACCTGACTTTGAAAGTTTTATAGGTAACAGCTTATTTGTTGGGGGGAAAAAAAGTTTTAACCACTGGTTTCTTCTGCTGATTAAGAAATTCCATCTGTTTCTGCCAGTAATTAGACTTTCCCATGTGCATCCTATGGTAGATAGAAAAGAGATTCAAAATGCCTGGTCAACTCTTGTGAGGCTTAGTTAGTTTCTTCCTACAACTGCAGGGCTGACTTCTCTTTTGTATTTCTTACAGATTGATGGGCTGTGTTCTCACTAGTGCATGTTGTCTGGATCTGGCTTCTGCTATTTTGAACAACCCAAACCTGCAGAGCCTAGACCTTGGGAACAACAACATACAGGATGAAGGAGTACAAATTCTGTGTAATGCTTTGAGACATCCAAACTGTAGCATCCAGAGGCTTGGGTGAGATCAATTTTCCATTATGAAAATGATAGCTAATTTGATGCTAGTATAGATGGAAGTTTTGTATATGTTAAGAGAACAAAAAAAATGGGCTAGACTGTAAGTTCCTCTGGGAAATAAGAATCTGAATTTCAAATATACAGATCAATATATTGCATGTTCTTTAGTATGGAAGCCATATTTCTTAGTCCTCTTAGTGCCTTGGACAGAACTATATCAAGTTGATCATTTGGGTCTTCCCTGTCCTATCATCTTTCAGATATTCTATTCTTGATTTTTTTCTTATTGAAGACTTTACTAATCACCCTTATCTGTAAAATACTATATCATCTGTCTAGGAGATTCTGGGTACTTCATAAGTTCAACTTTATTTTGAGTTTTACTTAATCTTAAACTGATTATGGCTAGTACATTTTCACCTATCCAATATGAATTAATCGCTTCTGAGTCAATTGTGCTTTATGTGTTGGAAACCTAGATTCAATGATATATTTCAGACTTTAGGTATTTGGTCTCCCAGAGAAATCGTCCCTGACTCTTATAAGAAAGTGCTGCTGTTCTGTTTCCACTGACTATATATTTTTATTACATATTCTTATTTCATAACTGTTATAACCTAGTAACTTCACCTGTTACTGTTTCATGAATGCTGACAGGAAATGCAAGACTCCTATCAGACAAAGGATTTTATTACTTATAACTTAGCAAAAACATGAGCATTAGTATGTTTGTGTTATCCCTCTTTGTCCCCAAGTCTCACAGGACTGTCATGGAGAGTCTGGATGGATACCTGCATGTGCCATTGTATATTAAGCAGTAAGTCTGCTCATTGTCCCACAGGGAGATGTTACTTTTTTCCTAAAGGTAGCTCCTTACAAACACAACTCTAGGGGATTGCCCCAAGAAAAAAGTTGTCAGAGCCTTGCATTTTTGTTAGTAAAATGTAAGGCAGTAAAAGACCCATGAAAGAATATTTCCTAACAACATTCACCTTTTGTTTCTACGTAGTATAGTCTCAACTTCTGGTGAATTTTCATGTGAATATGTCACTCTGTTGGCCACTCTTTGAGAAACTGGTACAAAATCTGTTCAATTAATGGCATATGTTTCTGAATTATGGTGATGTTTAATAAGACTCTAAGCACAGGATGAGGCAAACTTGTAGTATTGACTTCAACCATGCCTTTAGGGTTCTGGACTGTGTCAGCTGAGTCTCGAGAAAGACTTATATGTCTCTTATCCATTACAAGCCATATAAGGGAATTAAGAATGGCCTTACCTTTGGTGTCAGTGACAATAAATGGGAGACAAAAGATTGTTCAACAGCCACTGACATTCCCAAAAAAGAGACATTCAGTGATCACTGTTCAACCATACAAACATGTAACCCAAAGAAGCCACCATTATACTGATTTGGTTAAGCCCAGTGGGCAGTCATGCTGGTAGATACAGCCTCATTGGGTATACATGGTATAACCCAAGACTGTTCAGGCATCAGGACAAGCTTATAATTTTGATTCATTGATATGAAGTGCATGTTGTACATACATGATTGAGGGTACTCATGGAGGTTCCCATTATGGGCTTTGAGGCACAGGAGACTAGTTCAGTATCTGCTGTGTTCACATGAGAATGTTTACATTGAATGTGAATGGACATGACAAACCAGGGATCAGATTGCTAGCCACAGCTGCTGTTCGACTTACAGACCACATAGTTTTGCCAGTCTGCAATATACTAGGAGGGTTCTAGGGGAGAATATGACAGCATTATTTTCCCAACTCTGACCTCCCAGATTAATTCTAAGGTGTTCCTTCCCCAAGTACTATTGTTGCTCTTCCCTGAAGTCCCATCCCAGTGGCTGTCTTTACTTACCGTCCAGTCATCTGAACCTGCACCAACTCAGCCCAGTGGGTAGTAGACAAAATGTCTTTACAATAGACTCTGTCTCCCACACACTGTATTTCATATTCTACTTCTTATATCTAAAATATCAAAGACAAGTTATGAAGCTTTGGAGTTTTTAATCTTTTAAAAATATGATTGGAGGTAAAGTCTGTTTTAATATTTTTCCTATAGACTCAATTTTTCCAGCAAAATTTACTGAATTTTTTTCTCTTCTTACTGCTTGGCAGGGATACCTTTCTTATTAGTCATGTTTTTCACAGGAAGATGAATCAGCTACTAGGTTTTCTATTCTTTTCTATTAGCCTATTGTGATTCTCCAGTCCCCATAATGCACTGTCTTCATTCACATAGCTCTGTAATAAGCCCTGACATCTATATTATGCTTCAATATAATTTTGGCTTTTTTTCCCCTTTACATTTCCAAAATTTTAAAAGTCAGATTATCAAGTTATACATGTACCTGCCCCATTCTACCTATTGGCATCTTGACTGAAATTACATTAAATCTATCAGTGAATCTCTTGCTTGACCTTATATTTTGTTGTTTATTTTGAAGTCCTTGCTACATTTTAATATTTTCATGTCTATTTTTTTGAGACAAGGTTTCATTGTGTAGTCTAGGCTGATCTTGATCCACCTGCCTTAGCCTCCCAAGTGCTAGGATTATAAGAATGTAACCCATGCCCAGCATGGGTTATACAGAAACACAGTTGGGTTTTGTACATTGATTTCATATCCAGTACCCTGTCAGTTCTCTTGTTGACTTTAAATAGTGATAGATTCTTCCAGATCTTCTAGGTATGCAGTCATTTGGGAATTATAGTTGGTTTTTCCTTTTCTGTCTTTATGGATTTTTTTCTTTTTATTGACTTAGTATCTGTTAATGTATGTGAAATTAATATGTTGGGGATAGTGAGCTTCTGTTCCCACTGTCTAAAACAATATTTCAATAGTTCACATGTTTATCAATATAAGGAAATTCCCTCCTATATCTAACTTTGGAAGTTTTTCTTTTAAAATCAAAGATGTTGAGCATAAGAAATTTGCCATATTTGGTGAATTATGTTGATTTATTAAATAACTTACGTTTTTTGGCTAAAACCTACTTGCTCATGATATCTCTCAGGTACATGGTGTGATTCATTTTGTTAATATGATTGTTTAAACATGTTTGCTCATAATAGATACTAGGTTATCATTTTTTTTGTGTAGTCCTCAGAAGCTTTTGTATCTAAAATACAGTAATCTCATAAAATGAGTTCAGGAACCATTCCTTCTTCAGTATCCTGGGAGAAATTTGTAAGGCTATAATTATTCCTTCAATTTTGCAAAAATTTCTGCTGAAGCTCTTTAGTTTTCTTTGTGTGTAGGTTATTTTGACTTCCAATTCAATTTTTTATTTTAATTTTATTTTATCATTTTTATTTACTTACATGTATATACATTATTTGGGCCACCTACCCCCCTCACCCCTGATTCAATTTTTAAAGTAATCATATGCTCAGATTTTATTTAGTGCTTTTTGGTAAGTTACATTTTAGATTCATTTTATCTAAACTATACAATTTATTGGAAAGTTTGTAATATTTTTATTTGCTTAATTGCTAAATCATCTATAGCATCACTTTTCTCAGTCCTAATATTGGCAATTTGAGCCTTTTTATACTTTATTTTTTCCAAGGAATATAACACTGATGCCTTTATATGTATACTTTCTATTTCATTAATTTAAAAATATTTCTTGTATTTTACATTTATCATTCTTTTTCTAAGTTTTTCTGTTGGATGCTTAGATAATACATTTTTCCTTTTTTGTTTTCCAAGACAGGCATTTAAGGTTATGATGTCTCTTCAAGTCAATTAACTTCATCCTACAAGTCTTTATATGTACTGTGTTTTTAATCTAAAAAATTATACATCTCTTACATCTTTTCTTCAGCACATGGGTTATTTAAAAATGTGCACCTAAATTAAGTTTTTTAAAATTGTGCTGGGTGGAGGTACACTCTGGCATTTATAAAAGTTCTTACAATATATCAAATATATCATACTGTTTTTTGTATTTAATTTATAGCATTGTGGTTTCAGAACATACTGTGTGTGATTGTAATTTTTTGAAATTTGTTGGCATTTGCTTTGTGGCTATGTAGTCAGTTTTTATATGTTCATAGTGCACTGGAAAAGAATATAAACCCAGGTAATGGTGGCTCACACCTGTAATCCTAGCTACTTTGGAGTCTGAGATTGGGAAGATCCTGGTTCCAGGCCAGGAGCAGGCAAAAAAGTTCTTGAGACTCCATCTCTGCCTGGGGTGGCAGGATCTTGTCATCGCAGCAACTGTGGGAAGCATAAAATAGGAAAATTGTATCCTAGGCAAAAAAAAGAGACCCTATCTCCAAAATAACCAGAGTGAAAAGGGCCAGAGGTATGGTGCTCAAGTGGTAGGCACCCCTGAGTACAAATCCAGTCCTGCCAAGAAAAATATGAAAAGCTGTTGGTTGCAAGATGTACTATGGTTTGGATATTATTTGAATGTGTCCCTCAGAGGTTCATGTGCTGGAAGCTTGGTTCCCACTGTGGCAGGGTCGAGGGAGTTGAACTTCCAAGAGGTAGGATCTAGTAGGAGGTAATTATGTCATTGGGCACATCATCCTTAGAAGAAATTAATGTAGTTCTTCATAGATCTTGGTTCCCTCAAATGGGTTATAAAAATATCAAGTCTGACCTCTGAGTATTTCCTCTGGCTTCCTTATGTGATTTCTTCCTCTTGGTATTCCTACCAGTATGCATCTGCCATGTTGTGATATAGCAGAAAGCCTTCATCAGGTCATGTGCTCATGGACCTCCAAACTATGAGCTTAATAAACCTCTTTTCTTTGTTACCCAGCATCGGGCATTCTTTTATAGCAACACAAAACAGATTAACATACTGTTTTCTATATCAGTTAATTAAGATTCTAAATTCTGTTGGCCAAGCTACAATTTTAGTGCTTTTTTTGCCATATAATTCAGTTTATTATGTTGGCTATTATGTTAATATCTCTATTATAGTACTAGATTAGTGTCTTTCACTTTAGTTCTGTTAGTTTTTGCTTTCCAGATTTTGGAATGTTATTAGTGACTGCAAACTTAAAGTGATTATGTTTCCTGATGAATTTTCTTTCTTACAATGCTTTTGCCCTAAGGTATATTTTGATATTTATGTGCCTAGTGTCAAAATTTGCCCGACTAGCTCTCCTACCTACATTGTGAGTTCCATGTGGACAGCAACTTTTTAAAGTTTTATATACTCAGCACCTATATATGCATTCAATTATTCAGTGGCTAGTTAAACAAAACGTGAGAATTAAACTCAAATTACTAGGCTGGGGGAATATCAGGTACTGAGATTAAGTTTATATTTCCAGTATTATAGTATGATTGGCTCTTGACTGATTGCTTGGTTAAGTGGTTAATTTATCTCCATTGGCCATTCTTCTTTCCACCTACAGGCAACTGACTTTAATGAGTTTAAAATATGCCATAGAATTTTGACTATCCTTATAAAGTTTGTTTTTATTAGCATACCTGGCACCATGCCAAGAGACCTCATTATATTCCTTTTTAAATACTCAGTACCAACTTTCTAAAATCTACTTATGATGATATATTTTTAGTGCTCTTTGATTCAGCAATTCAACTGCTTCATATTATTTGATAGTACACTTGTGGTTATTACCTGGACTGTAGCTATGAACTTGTAATCCATCATTCAGGAAGTGATATGTTCACCTAGAAACACATAATTTCATTCTGGCCAATTTAGGTATCTAAATATCTACAGTCTGTCAGTTTACTCTGTGTTCATTCAAGTTTCTGGAGTTATCCTCCACTCCTGGCTCACAGATTTCTTATGTGCTTGCTTTGTGCAATAGGATAGTTATTTTCATCTTGTGTCTCTCCTCTGTACAGGTTGGAATACTGTGGTTTGACATCTCTCTCTTGTGAGGATCTTTCCTCTTCTCTTCTCAGCAACCAAAGACTGATAAAAATGAACCTGACACAGAATAACGTGGGGTCTAAAGGAATCAGGAGGTTATGTGAAGTCTTAAGGTCTCCAGAATGTAAACTACAAGTTCTAGGGTAAGTCATCAATGGCTTCTCTGGAAGAGTATTTTCTATAATAACAGAGTTAGGGACCCACTCATTTATTTACAGGCCTCAGAATCAACCTGATTGTGAATCTTTGGATAGCCCAGAACACTGAATTTTGAAGGACAATATGGAATAGTGCTTAAGAGTTAAGCACTCTGGAGCCAGACTACCCAAAATCTGGCCCTGCCTCTTATTAGGCTAGAGGGGAATGGATTAAGGAAAATCTCTGGGTTTTGGTTTCCTTATCTGTAAATGGATGAAATGATAGCTGTCTTACAGTGTTAGTGTGAGGATTGCTAAGTACTTGTAACAGTGTCTGGCATAAGTGTATTAGAATTATTTTTGCTTTGATAGAAAAGGGCTCTTGGAGGAACTTTAATTTTAATCTACTTCTTTCTCTTCTATATTCCATTCTCCTTTGTATCTCCTTTACTGTCTCTCTGTTACCATTCCTACTCACTATTCATGTTAAATTGACTACTTTAACAGGTTTTTTTTTTTTTTTCATTGTTTCACTATATTTAAAAGAGAAAGTAGAAGGCTATGGGGAAATAGTTCAGGAACAAAGAGGTTCTTTTGTTTTCTCAGGTTGCACAAAGAGTCATTTGACAAGGAAGCCCAGAAGCTGCTGGAAGCTGTGGAAGTTAGCAACCCACACTTAGTCATTAAGCCATTTAATAGTGATCACAATAATGAAGATGCGTCCTGGTGGCGGTATTTCTGATTGAAAAAACCTGATACTCCTCTAAAAAATAAAGTCAGTAAAACCTCAGCATGAAAAGGTCTTGGGTTTTTGGCTTACTCTATACCCAGAGATACTGCACTTAACATCTTTAGGTATAGTTTAGTTTATAAAAACACCCATTTTACTTAACACATGGGGTGAGAGAATAAAATAAAATGAAAACCACAAAGCTCTTTGAGAAGTGTAAGGTGTTTTTAATTTGATACAGAGCTTAAGAACTCATATAGGAGAAGCCCAAAAATGAAACTTGAGAATGGGACCTGAGAAGATCCAAGTGCCTTGTTTTCCTTCCCAATCCCAGGGCCATAGCTTAATTAACAAGCCTTGCTCTAGCACATTGGTGAAAACAATCTAGGCTAGTCCATATTCAAGGGAGGTTAATCCTTGATGGGAATAGTTTTTAAAAAATTGTGGCTTTCCTTACTGTACCCCAAATTCTATCAATTTTCTTTTCTCTCTCTTTTAGCTGGTTAAAGGGAAAAGCAAACTCCTCTTAGAGTCAACACTCACTCTCCTGGTCACCAAAATGTAGATCATTCTCACACCAAACAATTTGATATCAGCTGAGTGTCCTGTAATTCAGTTCTGACACTTATCTACTTGCAGATAGCACCAGATCCCATAGATTGGCAGTTCAATTCCACAAGACTGTACCCCACTTCAGGTGCCAGTGGCAAGTCCCAAGTTATGAGCTGTGCTAATTGGCTATAAACTGGGGTTCCTGCAACCCCTTTTTGGGTTTGATAATTTTCACAGTAGCTCAGAGAGCTCACTTATGTTGACCCTTTTGTTACAAAGAGTATTTACAAGAGTTGGGCATGTGAGGATAATACAAACACCCTCTGCACTTGTCAGAGCTGGGGCTAAAGGTTCACCTTTCTTCTAATCCCATGGTTGGTGCTTGTGGCCACGAGACTATTCCCAAGGCAATCCAGGAATTGCCAGTCATCTCAGTAGAATAAAGATCACTTCAGAACTCCCAAACATTTTGGAACTGTGTGCCAGAAAACAGGACACAATATCACACTGGTAAAATAGCCACGGGTCAGTATGCAGATGTGGACAGAAGGTGCCAAATAGGAATTGTTGGCAATAATGGCGCCGATATGTTTCAGTTCTTACTGCACCCTTAAGCTTCTGTTTTCCAGGGTCAGGGTCCTGCCTCCCAGGGTCACAGTCCTGCCTCAAGTCTAGCTTGAATCCTCCTTCTACCCCAACCTCCAATCAGCATGAACCATAAGATCCTAACCAATCAGATTATGCTGAGTCCCACTGAGGGGTATTTAAGCCCTTGCCCTTCCTGCTTCTGTCTCTTGGCTCTCTCCCTCGCCCACCTGGCAATAAAGAATCTCTTGGCCAGATCACTCCTCTCCACATGGTCACTTTTGGGGCCTATGTTTCCTTACAGGAATCATGTGAAAATTAGAGGGTAAAGTTAAGCGTAACTGCTGAAACTTAGCAGAGTATCACTTAGTAGTGAGGACAGGGCATTGCTGAGGTTGATTCCTAGAGGACAGTCTTGCTGGTTAGAGAAAGCTGACCTGGGTTGTCAGAGTAGGTGCTCCTTTCAGGTGGCAGCCTTGCTGCAGTGCATAGCTCAACCTTAACAGACAAGATTTTCAAGCTGCAAGAGGAAAATACCAACCCAGGTAAATGCTTTGTATCAAGATGGCTTCTGGTGGGTTGTGAAATAAAAGAAAATTCTTGTTTTTGAAAACATTTCTGAGCATTAAAGAAGAAAGTAACTGTAGTTCATTTTATAAGGCTTGAAATTTTTTTTATTCATATGTGCATAAAATGTTTGGTCACTTTGAAAATTTTTGATAAAATTTAAAGATAGCACTACTGAGATTTATAGATGACTGTCACAACTTTGCAAAGACCCAATATAAAAATTTCTCAAACTCAGTTCCAGCATTCAATTAAAATATTACATGATCACTGATTTAGTACAGATGTGCAAGTGAGGACTAACATGGCTGTCATAAATATAGAATGTCAAAAATTTATGAAGACAAAGTTAGATGCTAGTTCAAAAGGCATTTGCAACATGAATTTATATATCCATCAAAAAAGGATTTTTTTAAAAAGACCATTACTAAGTAAATACTCAGCTGATTAATGTCTTAAGTCAATAAATGAAAACTTGGATACTGTCCTTTCTACAGTAATAATCTGTAGTGCTAGCCGAGTAGGATTACTTGCATTTTTATCAGTTTCCTAAAAATTAATCTCTACCCTTATAAGGTCGTAAATCTAATCAGTAGCAAATTGAGAATTAGAAAATAAGATAATTTCCAGCCTTCTACTTCAACAAAAGAATAACCAATAATGTCTTACCTATTTTTAGGTTTTGGATAATTTTTCTTAATGCTTACCACTTAGAGCACTGGCTCGTAACTGGGACTGGAGATTTGGCCACCAAGGGGTTAATTTTGGTTGTCACAACTAAGATAGCTACCTGCATCAAGTAGGAAGAGGCCAAGGATGCTAAACATCCTACAATACACAGGACAGGCTCCTACAACAAAGCCTCCATCCCAAAATGTCAGTAGTTGCAAAGCTGAGAGAACTAAATTTGAATAAGCACTGTGGCCTGGAGTGAGATTTAATTGTTATGCTGGGTGTGTGAGGGGGTACATTGTAGCATTTATAAAAGTTCTTATAATATATCATACTTAAATTCACCCCTTTCACCATTCTCCTTTGTCTTCCCTTTCCCCATTCCTGGAAATTTTAACAGACCATTTTTCCACTTACATGGATGCATAATATTTGCACTATATTCATCCTTCCATGCCTGTTCCCACATCTCTTCCCCTCTCCCACAGATAAACCAACTCCCCCTCACTCCCAGGCAGAACCTGTTCTCCCCTCCTATTCTGATTTTTGTAAAAGAAAATGACATTTTTGTTTAAGACAGCTACACAGGGAGTTTACTTGTAACATAGATAGATGTATGTATTATAACCCAAATTGGTTCATCTCTATTTTTCTTTCTACCTTAGTCCCCTTCTTATGGTGGTATCAGCAGGCTTATGGAGTTGAGATTTTTATGATGAGTGTAACTTGTATGTGTGGAGGGGAAGTCAGAATTACCCACAATCATTCCGTAGCCCTCAATTCTCCATTCACATGGAGTGAGATCAGCACTATGACTAGTTTGAGAAGTACAATTACAATAGGTAAAATAAGGGAAGGGACCATGAAAAAAAAATAATAAACTTGGAATCAAAAGACATGGAACTTAGTCATATTATTAGAAGTTACAAGTTCTGGGATGTTGGAGATAGTATTTCATATCTCAGTTCAATAAAATGGAGATTAAAATGTGCCACTTTTGTCTCACACCCTTGATTTTTTAGCCTGGAAGAAAATGAATTTTAAAGGCCAGGCAGAGTGGTTCACACATGCAGTACTAGCTATTCAGGAGGCCAAGATCAGGAGGGTTGTTGTTTGAGGCCAGCCACCACAAAAGTTCATTGAGACCCCCATCTCAATAAGCCAGGAGTGCCTACCATCCCAGCTACATGGAGTGGCCACAGATGGGAGGATAGGCCAGATTCAGGCAAAAAACCGATCCTACCTGAAAAAGCAAAAAGGCTAGGGGCATCACTCAAGTCATAGAGTTCAAAGCAAATTAAAAAGAACAAGGAGGAAAAAGAAGGCAGTACCCTTCTGTCATCAATACAGACTAATTGGAAAAGGTCTCATTTCCAATGTTCTTGCCACTGTCATTTTCTGTCTAGTCTCCAGGTCTCTCTGTTGTAGCATTCTAGTCAAAGAAGTTTTCTTTAAAAACAAAAAAATCTATCCTTCCACCTCTGCTGCTTATATTAGCTTCATTTCTTGTTCCTCAACTATGATGACACTACTTTTAAACAGAATGAATCTGTTCTCATCATTTTGTCCCTGTCTCCCTTTACACATATTGCTCTTGCTGTGATATTCTTTCTTGTTCTTTGTTGCTTTTTTCCTGAGGATCATCAGGAATACTCTCCCAGCAATTAAGTGTCCTTTAAGAGCAAAGGGTGAAAACTAGCAGGTTCCTTTATAACGACAGGGGAAGGAGAAAGACTATTTTTTAATCTCTAGTGTATTTAGCCCCCTGTTCTAACTGACTTCACACTCTTCACCTCAGTCAGTGCCTGTCATATAGTAGATGCTGAGTATTTGTTGAATGAATAAAAGTGGGTTATGTTAGAGCTGGAGGGAGTTCTCTTTATTCAAAAGTCTATGCAATTTGTTTCAGCTTTCCAATATGTCACTCTCTGCTTACGTCCAAATTCCTTGAATTCTCCAATCTTATGACTCAGATATCTCTGCCCACCCAGAACTTCTTCCCATTCCTCATATAGCCGGCTCTGGATCATCATTTATATTGCAATTTAAAAATCTCTCCCTGGGAAAAATTGAACACTATCTTACCACCATCATTTCCCTTTTATAACAAAGCATCACTTTTGCTTGCTTTCCTCCCACGCTTACCGAGGTTCAGTTATTTTATTTCCATATTACATATCTCTCTCATTGCTAAAGTTTCAGGAGGGCCAATGCATGGCTGTTTAGTTCACTGTTGTATTTCCAGCCCAGTGGGTTTTCATTCAGTAATGAGTGAGTGAATGGATCTACAAATACCCAACTCTTCCTGGGACCATCTGTATTACTTTATAAACTCATGACAACTCCTGGATGGAGGTGATCTTATCTCAGGAAGCTGCTTGAGAATGTGGTACCTAAACGCCCTGCTTTGGAGAATTTGGAATTCCAGACTCTGCAGCCAGAGGGAGTTTGGGAGTCTATTTCTGTGATAGTCTCTCATTTCTGGCTGGCTTTTGGGGTTTATTACTTAAATTGGGTACAGCGAATAGGCGCTTGGATCCTCAGTCAAGGCCCAGAAAGGTTGCGGAGTTGGAGAGTCGCACTGAGCTTCCGCAGCTATGGTGCAGAAGGAGGAGAGAGAGAAGAGCGTTGGGCACCTGGCCCGCCAGTGCGGGCTCTGGGGCTCCGGGGACCGAGACACAGACCCTTTGCTCCGCAGCAAAGCGGGTGCCGACAGGGCCTGCTCTTCAGTTCCCGCAGGCTGTGGTCCGGAGTCAGCCTCCTGCGAGGGGCAAGCATGCAGCTAAAACAGAGGTGGCCTCAATCCTGGTATCCAGCGTCAGAGAAAGCAGGACCCTGGACAGCTCCTGGACGCAGCGCCTGCTCGCTTTCCTGATCCTAGTTCTGAGTTCCTTGCCTGCTGTGGGCAATCTCACCATTTAAGGGCACTGAAGTTCCAATCTCTGAAGCCACTTTCCTAAAGATGGGCAAAAATGGATTTCTCCAAAGTGAATCCTTGTTATTTATTGAAATAAAATGAACATGTGTGAATTAAGGGAAACTTTAAAAGGTAACGGTTTTCAGTTCATGTTTGAATAAATGAGAAGATGCCCAGTAGTTAAGTTTATAGAAACAGAAAGAATGGTAGTTGCCAGGGGCTGGGGACAGAGGAATGGGAAGTTGTTTAATGGGCATAATTTCAGTTTCAAAGTAAGGAGAAAGATTGGTTGCACCACAATACGGATATGCTTAATACTACTGTATACCTAAAAATGATTAAGGTGGCAAATTTTATGTGTTTCACCATAATTTTTAAATTTAAACTGAATTAAAAAATAGGTGCCCAAGGTGCAGACTGACTAGGAAGCTCACTCTCCATTGTTAAGGAATTTGTGGCATAGTTTAGAGTCATGTTCCATGTGTTTGGATGTTTGGACCAGATCTCCATTTCAGCTTTGGAAATAGAGTCAGGGTCCCCGGCCACAGGCACTTTGTGCTGCTTCCAGGAAAGTTCTCTAACATTCCTGGAAGGAAGGATGGGACTCTCATTCAATTGTCCTATTCCTTGTTCTCCCCAAGTCTTCCTTATTAAGACATAGCCCTCTACAGGAAGTTTTATTTGTTTTGTTTTGTTTTTTAAGGGAAGAAGGGGATCTCTCTTTCTCTTTCTTGAAATGTGACCTGTAGTTCTTTATGGTAGATTGGTTTTTTTTTCATCACGGAGCTTCTCTGTCCCCATATTCCCACGGAGGGTTTCCTCTCTTTTGGAGGATATTAGGGCCAGTGTGAACAGTAAGATTCCATAAAGAATGTCATTCTCTTTGCCTGGTTTCTGCTCCTGTGCTATACCTTTCCTGTTCATCAGTATTCACACCTTCATTCTTCATCCAGATTACTACAGTTTGCTGTAAGTAATTGTAAAAGAAATGAAACAGTGAGTCATCTAGTCCAATGGGACAGTGTGTAAACACATGAGGAATTCATCTATTTAATGTCTTCTTTCAATTTGGTATAATTATTGCTGAAAAAATTTCATGACTGTTAGAACTCATGAAGACAATATATGTTAGAACCTCTTTACTGCAATTGACCTGCCAATAGTGCAAGTTGCCCAAGAACTCTATATGCAGATGGCATTGAAGTAAGAGCATTCTTTTTGGAACTGAGCCCTTAACTGATACTTAGTTCCTGATCACAAAGTATCTGTTCCTGATAGTTAGTGGCAGAATTGAATTGTAAGACACATGGTCAGTGTTAGAGAATTGAGGCTGGTTATTGGAAAGCCACGTATTTTTTCACTCTTTGATTAATGCAGTAGCCTCCAAGTCCACTACAGTCCTCTCAGGTTTCGTAATTCACAGAACTCAGGAAAGAGCTATATTTTATTTATTATAAACTATAGTTTATAATAAACTATAGTCATAAGTACTGTTTGTTGAAATTATAAACTACATGTGGAAGATGAACATCTAGGTGAAGGGGTATATATAGAAAGGAGAGGAGAAAGGGTGCATAGTTTCCAAGCTCTCTGTGGGCACACCACCATCCAGCACATCCCTGTGTCCACTAACCTGGAAGTTCCCTGAACCCTATTCAGGGTTTTATGTAGGGTTTCATTACATAAGCACACCTGATTAAATCATTAGCTACTGGTGATTAAACTTAATCACTATTGCCTCTCCCATCTCTGGAAGTTAGTGTGGGAGATGGGTGAAAGTTCTAACCCTCCAACTATTATAAGAGTTGATTTCTGTGGCTACCAGTTGCCATCTTAAAGCTATCTAGAGGCTTCACCATGAGTCACATAATTAGCATAAACTCTGGTACGGTCAAAAGGGTCTCTTTATGGACAACAAAAGAGTCTTATCACTCAGAAATCTCCAAGGTATTTAGAAGCTCTGTACTAGGAAAAAGATCAAATAGATGTTTTCTAGTTATATCACAGGCTACCCCCTGGTCTTTGATCATGGATCCCTGATGGCAAAAAAACAAAACAAAACAAAAAAAAAACACATAGCTGAGCAACCTATGAAAAGTAGATGTGGGACAGGACCCCTCATAGCATAAGAATCATACCTGCCTGAACAACATTTGGAGAAGTCAGTGTAGGATAGGGGAGGAGCTTCTAACTCAGTTTCTTAATACTTCTATGACTATCACTATCAGTATTATTACCAACAATGAAAGTATAAGACAATATTGCATTATGGTAGATGTAACCTGGCACATTACTAGAGCCTCATTCAGCCATCAGTAATTCCACTAGTCCACATTATATTGTATGGAAATGTCTCCCAGAATGAAGTCACTCTGGTTTGTAAGCTTCCGTTTTTCCTGTCTGATTCCAAAAGTAGGAGTGGTCTCAGAAACAGACAGCTTCACCCTTTCAGGTATCTGGTATAATTGAAAAAAAAAAAGTATTTCTTGCTCTGAACCTGTTTCCAGGTGTATTATTGGCTTCCTCCATTTCCTATTCATTCCTTTACTCTCATCTACTATTCCACTTTCTTTCCATTTGTACCCTGACTTTCCCCCTTTTGGTAGGCACATCAGTTTCAGTCACTGTGCTGGACTAGACTGCAGACAGAAACATTAGTTTGGCAAATACCTCCTCCTTAGTCCATGTCCATTCACATAGAGTAGGGTTACATAGCTATAGGAGTAGTGGACAATTTTTATTGTTAGGCAGTGTATCTGCATATAATGTTAATCAGGCCCTCAGCAATGCTGATGTGAAGTTTCAAAGTTTCTTGTGTAGGAATAATCCTTCTAACACTTGCAGTTGCATCCCTGGTCCTGTAACCTTTAAATAGGAAAAATAAAGTTGAATAATGTGGGAAAGAAAGAAATATAAGTCATCTTCCTTGTGGGAAAAATTGCAGTCGTAAAAGCATTGCCCCCCACTCCCTCTCAGAATATCTCCCAGTATATCTACCTATTGAGGACACTCCCTCAGCCATTCTTGAGTGTGAACACATACTTTTGAAGACATGTAAGGCAGCCCTTCTTGTCTTTATCTTCTGTTTTATACAAGCCATGTTTCAATTATCTGTGCAATTCTCTATTCAAATATTACTATAAGACTGTCTGTCTCTATTCATTGTGCTGTAAAGTATGTTCCTTGGCTGAATAAATGCCAACTTGGTATTCCAAACTGGTGCAAGATCTCCTCCAGTTCTTTTATAGCATTCTGAGCATTTGCATCTATCATTTGGTAAGAAAAGCCCAGTCCTTTTAGTGTCTATACCTGCCTAGACCCACTGATAAGGGTTAGAAATGTAGCTCAGTGGCAGAGCACTTGCTTTGCGTGCAGGAGGTCCTGGGTTTGATCCCCAGCATCAGGAGGAAAAAAAAGGCCTATTGGTAGCCACAATCAGTCCCACTTAACAACTGTATTCTGGGCCTTCTCTCAGGAAACTGGCCACATAGCCATCTTCAGTCTTGGTCTCTCTTGTTGACAGGACAATTTTTAGCAGTATTTTGTGCCTGAGAAGAACAAGAGGAATAGATCTAAATTTAACTCATTTCTGCAATGCTTACATATCCCACTTCATTTGGGTCATTTCATAGACCCAGGTGGCCACATCAAGCAAGCACATAGTGATATTCACCGGTAAATTCCAGTTACCTTCTGAACCGATAAGTGGGTTTTTTCTTTTTTCTTTTTTTTTTTTTAAGAAAAGGGTCTTATTATGTTTCCTAGGCTGGTCTCAAACTCCTGAGCTCAAGTGATTCCCCCTGCCTTAGCCTCCCAAGTAGGGACTACAGGTGTGCACCACCATACCCAGCTTAAAAATGGGTTCTTTTTATGAGCATCAAATATATATTTTAATATATCTCAAAAATCCCAAATGGTGATTTTCATATGGGTATCCCTTTGGTAGACCAGTTTTCTATTTATTCTTCTCTGCCTGACCCTATGGCTGGGCCACTGGTTACCATTCAAGATTCAGCAAAACCCTAAATGTAGAGGCTTTAAAAAAAAATCATTGTTCAATTCTTCTATCACTGCTAGGAAAATGGCATGTAATTCAGCCCACCAAGTTGTTTGTTTTTACTTTCTTTGAATAAGGTGATGATCTTCCAAACAGTTCACCTTGGAACTGCTATTCATAATTAAGCAACTCTTTGCTGGTCAGTTGAGATCTGTTTAGAGGGCACTAGCTATAGAATATAACCTGGCAGCATTTCATGATATAACAAACTCAGTCATAGGGGAAGAGTCTTTGTTCATAAGTCCACTGAGTAACTCTACATCCCTTCAGGAGAATATTCCTATTGTGACACAATAAGAAATATATATGTGGTCTCTGCCCCCAGTTGCTGACAGTAACTAACATGTGAGAAATGCTAGAAGCATCTTTTGTGCTAATATTTGGTCTTTGACCTTGGTTCCTGACACAATGCTCCTAAATACTTGGAATTTTCTGGGTGATGAATGACCTTTGCTCTAATGAAGTAACTCTTGGTAAGCTTCTGATAGCTTTGGGAAGAGCAGTCACCAGAAGGATCAATCCATGATTAGAACCTTGGTACTTCCTCCAGGAAGGAAAAAGGGTCTATAGATTATCAGTTGTGCTTATGTCATGAAGATTCCATAAGAATGCAGGAAAGATGGCACACCCCAACTCCACAAAAGCACAGAAGTTTCTGTACTCAGGACCCATATGGACCTTCCCTATATATTTCTTCAAGTGCTTGCTCATCTGTATCCTTCATAATATTCTTTATAACAAATGTGTGTTCTTGATTTCCATAAACCATCATAGATTATTCAACCTGATAGGGAGTTGTGGGAATCCCCAATTTGTCACCAAGTCTGACAGAAGTGTGTGTAAACCTAGGGATCTACAGCCACAAGTTGTTGGCAGTCTTGTGGAAACAAGCTCTTTATAGCTCTTAATCTGTGAAGTTTGCACTAACTCCAGAAAATGTCATAATTGAATTGTAGGACACCCACTTGGTATCTGAAGAATTGAGTGGGAAATTTCCCTCATATTTGGTAGCAGAATGTTGAATGTAGAGAAAACAAAGTCTGCTTTTCCATTTATCTGGACATTTCCATCTCCCTTTTCTTATGGAACTCTTCTGGGCACTGTCCTTTCCATTATCACATTCCTTCAACATTACCCAACACATCAGCATTACTTCAGGTTTCAAGATTATTTTGTATTTAAAAATTGTTTAGCAGTGGTAACATATCCATAACATGAATTTCACAATCTTAACCATTTTTAAGTATTCAGTTTAGTAGTGGTGTTGTACAACTAATCCTCAAAACTTTTTCATTCTACAAAAATGAAACTCTATAATCATTACCAGTCCCACTAGCTTCTGGCAGCCACTATTTTCTGTTTCTATGAGTTAAGCTTATGCCACAGGTAACAAAATTATTCTGCAATTGTGTTTTTGTGACTTGCGTATTTCACTTAGCACAATGTCCTTAAGATTTAACAACATTGTAGATGTGTCAGAATTTTCTTCTTCTTAAGGGTGAATTGTATGTGCATGCCAGGTTTTTAAATCCACTTATCAGTAGACACTTTGTTTGCTTTCACTTTTTGGCTACTGTGAGTAATGCTGGTATGAACACAGAATACAAATATCTGAGACCCTGGTTTCAAATCTTTTGGTTATATGTCCATAAATGGGATCATATGTAATTCTATTTCTAATTTTTTGAAGAACTGCCATGCCATTTCCATAGTGGCCACTTCATTTTACATTTCTACCAACAATACACAAAGGTTACACAAGGGTTACTTTAATAGTAACCCTGATAATGGGTGTGAAGTGATGATTATCAAACTTTCCCAGCGCTGTTTCAATTAATTTTCAACTAACTACCTCAAGTGCAAATTCCCTAGTCCAAAATTCCAGTAGTTATTGCTGGGGGTGCCTGCAGGCTTTTGTCACGTGCCCTAATCTGTTAGTTACCGTGAACTCCCATGAGACACAAATGGCTTGCTTGAAAACTGTCCTAAGAGAATTCACCAAACTTTAGTCTGGCTTCCACCCATACTAGACCTTGTCTGTAAAGGTAACTCAAGTCCTTACTCCAGGTTCAAGAAAACATATTACCCAAATTGCAAAATGTATGCTTCAACCCATGCTGTCAAACTATTTTCAGTAATTTCCTACTTAACCCCCTCCTGTATTTTAACATTTCCCACAGTCCCTTTAGTCTTTTTCTCTTTTTGGTTTCCTTCTCATTTCCCCATAGCACTTTTATTGTTCTTCAATAAACTTTTAAAAATCTGATTGGAGGTATAGCTCAAGTGGTAGAATGCTTCATTTACAAGCATGAAGCCTTAAGTTCAAACCGCAGTCCCACAAAAACAAAAAACCTTTGTTTTTGAGCTCAGTTTATATTAAGTGTATACTTAAATCTTTCTTGCCACCTTTAACAAGTGTTGAGTGCTGGGACTCAGATCTAGGTCAGAACCATTACTGGACCCATGGATGTGACAGCTGGATGCCTCAGCAAGCCTTCTATCCCTGGGCTTCTTTGCCCATTTGAGAATCTGATAGTAAGTTCAACTCCTAATGCAGTGCTCCTTTTGAGTGCACTCGTAAAGTTAGAATAAAGTCATAAGCTATTTTGTTGAGTACAGTTAGATTATGTAAGGTACCACTAGTTTTGAATATGGGAACTAATCCTTCCTCTCAAACCTGGAAGACTATACTCTTTCCCACTATAGCCCTAATATTATCTATTCATTCTCACAAGCAAAATTTATAATGATGACTATTGAATTGTAATGGCCTTCTAGAGCATTCCCAAACTGGTCTACCCAAGAGGAACCCTGGAACAAGAGATGAAAAATTTCAGATACACAATGGTCCCTTTACTTTGCCTGATAAGAGGAAGCCTATAAGTAGCTCAATCTCTGGCCTATTTCTCCCTCCTAAGAGTTCAAGGAAGTATGAAAGATCTAAACCTCTAATTGCTAGGTTGACTTCTCAGGTAATAAGTTCCCATTCTGAAGCTATCCAAGGGACTCCAGAAGTCAGGGGCCCGATAAGAAATATATTGAGGTCAGGGCCAAAAGGACTTTTCTGACTGATTAGATGGGAGGTGGGCATTGTGAGAGCTTGAGGAAACAAGAATCACTCCCCAAAGTGGAATCGGCTCATATGTTCATCAAAAGGAATACAGAAAAAAATCATGGAAAAGTCATACAAAGAACATTAAAATATTAGATAAAAAAAGAGTATATACCACTGATTATGGATAAATCTCAGAAATATGCTGAATGACATAAGCAAAAAACAGAGTTCATTCTGTAGGATTACATTTATATAAAGTTTAAGAACTTGTAAGCATACCTCCTTATAATTCACAGGTCAAAGAAGAAATAATGAAAATGATAAAATGTTAGGAACAGAACAATGAAAACCCCATATATAATAGCATAGGACATGCTGTTAACCAGTATACAGAAATAAGTTTTAATCTTGGATTTAGCAGTTATAAAATTTTTTAAAAAAATTTTTTATTAGGATATATTCATAGTGACAATTCCAATTAGACTTATCTTGTACATTATTTACATTGACCCCATTGACTCTCTCCCCCTCAATCCCCTCCCCACCTCACTTATAGCAATTGTAAGTTTCTTAGTTCTGTTTCATATAGGTATGTGAAGTCCAGCTACCATATACTGTCACCTTAATCTCCTTCCTTCATCCTCCCCCCCCCACAGTATTATCCCCTCACAGTGTTTCTATTTTACATCTTGGTTTTTGTTATTAATATTTAAGTTGATGTTCAAAGGGGTGTCTCAATGTATGCCCACAGTGGGTATACTTTACTTTGCTCTGTTCAACCCCTTCCGTTACTTTCCTTACCATCTACCCCTCATTTTTCAACAAAGAAATACTTAAAAAATTTTTTTAATGTGCTAAGTCTAAAAAATGTGCTCTGTCTAAAAAATCAGAATATAATACAAACTGTAAAGAATAGGGAAAAAGAAATTAAAGACAATAGTAGCAAATAAAATAAAAACAGATGATCAGAAAAGCTGAAAACTGGTTGTTCACAAAAGAACAGGAAGATAAAATAAAACCAAGAAAAGGGGAAGGAAAAAGGAGGGGGAGAGCAGAGAAGAGAGAGAGAAAGAGAAAGGGGGTTGGGGGGAGAGAAGAAAGAGAGGGAGGGAAGGAAGGAAGGATGGATGGAAGGAAGGTGAGAGACACAAAACCAGGACACAGGTATAAATAAAATAAATTTAAAATTTTAAACGAAAATGTCTGCCTTCTTAGAAAAGAGTATCTTACAAAAACCAGAGGAAATAAAAAAATGTGGCTAGACTCAAAACGAAAATAAATTGATTCACTAGTTAAATGTACTCAAAACACCAGCCCAGATGGTGCTATAGACAAAAATCTTTTCAGCTCAGTATGGGAAAAAATTAAATAGGCAAATACTCTTTATGCTTAGACATGTAAAATTTCTATGAGAAAACTACAGTCATCAGTGTTTTCTGTTGTTGCGGTACTGGGATTTGAACTCAGGGCTTTCACCTTGAGCCACTCCGCCAGCCCTTTTTTGTGATGGGTTTTTTCGAGATAGGGTCTCAGGAACTATTTGTCTGGGCTGGCTTTGAACAGAGATCGTACTGATTGCTGCCTCCTGAGTAGCTGGGATCACAGGCGTGAGCCGCCAGCACCCGGTCATTCATCAGTTTTTTAGAAAAGAATACATCCTAAACAGGTGGGTTTACCTTGAAAAAAATCATGTTTTAGTAATAACATTCCGTTATTGTAATCCATCAGATGAACTGATGTGATGCACTTAACATTAACATCCGTTCATGCATGCTAAAGTTAAAACCAACCTCATAAAAATGCATTTTCACTTTCAACTTTTCGCACTGCCATAAACCAGCAAAACACATAGGAATACACATCTATACGCACACAAACTTGCCACGATTAACTTTTCACCCTAATAGTCTTTTAAAAATTTATACATTTTTTTCTTAACACGCGTTATAGTAAAGAAAAACTGGATTTAGATGTTAGATCTCGCTTATCTCTCCCCTTCTTTCCATTCGCAGCGCCCAAGGGGCGGGAATGGAGTTAAATCGCTCGGCCGGGAAGCTTGGGTTTGCCAGCAGCGCTCAAGTGCTCTGCGCTTCTGCCTTTATTTTGTCTAAAAGGCGACTTCCGCGCTCCACCTCTATTTTAAAAGGGAGTTTGAATACAACGTTATGAACCCCCTAACCCGCTAAAGGATGAAAAACTAGAGAAAATGGGACAGAAGTAAAAAACAATAACGCGTTCCAACAACGGTTGCCCGATTCTGGCTGCAGCGATCAGCACCCTCCTCACCTCAACATCCCCAGCGAACTCTTCTCCTTTGGCAAGTGCAAAAAAAAAAAAAAAAAAGAATTATATATATATTTCTACTGAACTTTACGTCCAAACATCGTTCTTAACCTTTTAAACCATTACTTATTTCGTTTTTCCATTACTCATTTTTCTGTTTGAGAACAGTTTGCGTAGCCAGCATTGGAGCTTTTGTCCGCCGTCCAGGTTTTGTTAGCGGCAGCGCTTCCAGCGCACGTTAAGGCGGTGTCAGGTTACGCGGTGAGAGTCCAGAACTGCGGCGGTCCCCAAACCGACTTTGCCGACGGCGACCGCGCCGCGGGTCGCCAACCAATCACAGCGGGTGTGGCTGCGGGCGGCGGGGCGCCCCGGAGGCCCCGCAGGAAGCGTTCGGCCTGCGCTAGGGGGCGCCGCGGTTCCAGACGCTGCGACGCGACGCCCGACCGGTAGGAGGCGCCCTCGGCGAGCAGTCTCGCAAGCCGAACACACCGCTTCTCCGCCGTCACCGACAGACCGACAGACCGTCCGACCGAGCCACCGCCGACATGGTTGAAGCCGATCGTCCCGGGAAGCTCTTCATCGGGGGGCTCAACCCCGAAACCGACGAGAAAGCCCTCGAGACGGCGTTTGGCAAGTATGGTCGCATCACCGAGGTGCTCCTGATGAAAGACCGAGAAACGTCCAAGTCCCGGGGCTTCGCGTTCGTCACCTTCGAGAGCCCCGCAGACGCCAAGGCCGCCGCCCGCGACATGAACGGCAAGTCCCTGGATGGTAAGGCCATCAAGGTGGCCCAGGCCACCAAGCCGGCATTCGAGAGCAGCCGGCGCGGGCCGCCGCTGCCCCGCAGCCGCGGTCGCCCGAGAGGCCTGCGTGGGTCTCGCGGGGGAGGCGGCGGCGGCCCGCGGCGACCCCCGTCCCAGGGCGGGTCCACCGACGATGGCAGCTACGTGGGGGATTTCGACCTGCGGCCCTCCCGGGCCCCGATGCCCCTGAAGCGCGGGCCGCCGCGTAGGGCCGGGCCTCCGCCCAAGAGGGCCGCGCCGTCGGGCCCGGCGCGCAGCGGAGGCGCGGGGATGCGGGGGCGAGACGGCTATGCGGGCCCGCCGCGCCGGGAGCCGCCGCCCCCGCGCCGCGACCCCTACCTGGGCCCGCGGGAGGAGGGCTACTCGCCCCGCGACAGCTATTCGAGCCGCGACTACCTGGGCGCCCGCGACCCCCGCGATTTTGCGCCCTCGCCCCGAGAGTACGCTTATCGCGACTACGGCCACTCCAGCGCGCGGGACGACTGTCCGTCCAGAGGCTACTGCGACCGCGACGGCTACGGGGGGCGCGACCGCGACTACGCGGATCACCCAAGCGGAGGCTCCTATCGCGACCCCTTCGAGAGCTACGGGGACCCGCGCGGCGCCGGTCCGGCCCGGGGCCCCCCGCCATCCTATGGCGGTGGCCGCTACGACGACTATCGCGGCTGCTCGCCCGAAGCCTATGGCGGCGGCCGCGACGGCTATGGGGGCGGCCGTGGCGACCGCTACTCGGGGGGCCGAAACCGGTCCTTGGAGAGGGGGTGCCCGCCCCCGCGCGATTCCTACAGCCGGTCCGGCCGCCGGGAGCCCCCCCGGGGCGGAGGCCGCCTGGGGAGCCGCTCGGAGAGAGGGGGCGGCCGGAGCCGCTACTGAGCGGACAGGCTTGGGACAAAGTCGCCTTGAGAGAAGCGGATGGAGAGAGGGGTCTGTGTGGTGGCTGCCCAAGGACTGGCGCACAGAAGAGTTGTTCTTAACCGTTTAAGAATTGCCTGTTAACTTCCTCTCCGTTTTTATGCTTTTGGGAGGAAAAAAAGTTAAAACTCGTTTAATTTCATTTTGGAATTGTTAAAAAGTTTCTTTCAACAAGCTCGTGTTTAAAGTATGACTTGAACCTGCGTACTAGTCTTCTTGTATTCTGAAATAGAAATTCTCCTAAAGGCTTCCCTTCTAAACTGTCCTGACAGCCAACCACCAGTGGCTTACATCTATAATCCTAGCTACTCAGGAGGCAGAGATCAGGAGGACCGCGCTTCAAAGCCAGCCAGGGCAAATAGTTCTCTAGACTCTTATCTCGAAAATACCCAACACATAGAAGGGCTGGTGGAGTGGCTCAAGTAGTAGAGCACCTCCCTACCAAGTGTGAGGCCCAGAGTTCAACCACCACCACCAAAAAAAAAAAATTGTCCTACAGATGAGGCAGACAGTTCTTCCACAAACATCTGCCTTCCTAACGTGGAAAATGGATCATTCTTCCCATTCAAACCAACTAGAGTTTTGGGAGAAGAGTGGGCGGGATTGGTGTGTGCTACTCAATTTCAGGATTTCCAGGGTGCCTTTCAATCTGAATCTCGGTATTCTCAGTATTAAAAAACTACCCAGCAACAACAAAAATCACTTAGATGCTTCTGTAAAGAAAGTTCTAGTCAGTCTAAAAAAGCAAATGGATAATGCTGGCCTTTTCGGGGTTTTTGGCCATTTTTTGGGAGGAGATCTGCAGAATCTCCTGTCCCCATCCCCAAATATTATATATGATTTGATCAACGAAGGAATACAAAATTAAATGTTTGGCCAACCAACCACAAGCTGGAAAACAAAACAAAAAAACCTCAAAACATCAGTTGATAGCATTTCCTTTCACCACTAGCAAGTTATTAAGAAACAAGTAGAAAATAATGCCGGTGGTGGATTTGGGGATCATTTGGGAGTGACTTCCATTCCAACTCCAAGATACTGGTTCTGGTGGAAAAAAGTTGGGCTTCTTCACTTGGGGTGGAGGAATTCACATGTGAGCAGCAGCTCAGGAGCAAAGGTCAGACAATCCCTGAAAAAACATCTGAAGATGTCAAACTGGTGTGAAGGGGCATGGTCTTCTGTCCACAAAGGCAAGTGGTTGGGTTGAGTTCAGGGGGGAGCAGGGTTTGAGCGGAGGACGTTCATAGCTGCTGCTTCCAACATGCTTCAGGAGGGACATAACAGTCTCCTCTTTTTGCCCCAAACTTAGGGCAAGAAATACCTTTTCCCGTCAGAATCTGGAATTGCCTTGTTTATCTAAGAGAAAGGTGTAGAACCTATGTGCAGTGTAATAGTTGCTGGAGAAAACATAAACACCTGAACAACAACAAAAAGTACTTAGAGATCTGAATGCAGCACTCTTAACATACATAATTCAAAAAACATGGTTTTTGTGACAAAACAAAGTAGATGAATTAAAGGATAGGCCACACTAGTGGCCCAGAAGATCAAATTGAAGAAATAAATTTTTATAATTGAGGAATGAATCTAGCAAAAAATGCTTAAGACTTTTATGGGAAAAATTAATTTTAATTAAAGGACATAAAAGAAGAACTAAATCAATGGAAATTGAGATGATTGTTCATGGTTGAGAAGACTTTGTTGTAACTATTCTCAACCTCACCAAATTTGGAAAAGCAATATGACTTCAAATGAAGTTTGTTTTTTTTTTTCATACAGTTCCCCTCCCCTCTTTCCTATTATTGATCGGTGATGGAATATTAAATAACAGATTTGAAACCAACCACAAAACAATAGCTTCATTTAACTACCAAGAAATTATTAAGAAACAGGTATTTTCTAAAAGACAATAATGGAAGATATAGCTAATCCTAAAGTTTACATGGTGGAATAAAGAGCAAGAAGAATCAAAGCAAAACAGAGAAACAATTAGGAGTCACCCTATCAGATATCAAGATTTATTATAAACTCTAATAATCTAATCTGTATAATAATATCAACAGACAAGGATAGATCAGTAGACTAAAATTGTGAGCCTAGAAATAGGCCCACTTATAGATGAAAACGTGTGACAGAATGTGTAAAAGTCAAGGGTGAAGTAATGGACTTTAAAAAAATAGCTTGTCTCTTTGCAAAAAGATAAAATGAGATTCTTAGCACATGCAAAAATACGTCTAGGTGGTTTCAGAGCATAAAGAGGAAAGTTTTTGAAACTTTCTTTAGAAGAAAATAAAGAAGAAATGCATTCACCACACTGAGGTAGAGAATTCCTTTTTAAGATGTAAAAAGCACAAACCTTGAAGGAAAATGTTGACAAACATTTCCATGTTAAGATGTGATTAAAAGATACTATTAAAATGAAATGTCAGATAAATTGGACGAATATATTTACATTCCAAAAGAATGTTTAGAAATCAATAAGAAAGGAAAATATACCAAGAAAAAAAGCGGGTGAGAGAAAGAACTCATACCTTCCTGGTAGGTGTATGAATTGATACAATCACTTTGGAATAATTTTGACAATGTCTAGTAAAATTGGAGGGTGCATACCTTATGACCCAGAAATTTCATTTCACGAACAGGACCTATGGCTGGTGGAATGCCGCAAGTGGTAAGAGTGCCTGCCTGCAAATGTGAGGCCCTGAGTTCAAACCCTAGTGCCTCAAAACAACAACAAAAAACCAGGACCTATAGAGACTTGCACATATACACAAGGAGATAGGCACAAATTGGTCTTCATAGCACTGTAAATATTAAAAAAGTATAAACAGCCCAACAGGAGTGGATCCATTGAGGTTAATGAAGTTCAATATAGAAGCTTAATGTGAATCAACCAGATCAGCATGTTATCAACATGGGTAAGTATCAAAATATTTGGTAAAAAAAAAAAAAACACATTGCATAAATACAGTGAAGAAGAACAAAAATATGATTGTAGCAATATACAAAATCAAAATATATTTAGCATGAGGAGGAAAGCAAGGAGATGGGATAAGGAGGAGTGGGTTTTAGCTGAATCTAATATTGTATTTCTTTAAAAGTGACAGATCTTAAGCAAAAATGACAGTTTTTAGTGGTCTTTATATTGGTAATTCTTATTCTATAAATTCAAAATATTTCATAATAGAAATTTTAATTTGAAAAAAAGCTTAACACAGCTCCTGGCATGTAATAGTCACTCAAAAATGTTAATTATTATTCTGAAGATCAGATACAGCACTGATCTTGACAATGATTTTCCCTCCTAGCTTTGTTCTCTCATGAATGTAGGAAATGCTTTACTTTATTTGACTCAATTTCTAGAACTTTTCCACCCCAGACTGTATTTACATCTAGCTTAACATAACCTCAATGGTATAATTTGCATATCTGAGAACCAAAGACTAGTAACTAGGAAGTTGCAGTTTTTCTCTTTGATGCTTAATTTGGAAGCATAATAGTAATGAAAAACTTAGTAGAGTTAATATTAAGGCTCTTTCTGCTTAATAATATCAAAGCTATTGAAAACTTTTTAAATAAGGTGTAAACATTTGGAAATAAAAGACTTACTGAAATTTAATGAGCTCAAGAGATTGTAGTTTCTTTCCTGCAAATTAAAACTTGTGGGAAAATATGAAAGTGATCTACTAAATTGAGAACTCTTCTTTATAATCACTTTTATATCTGGTGTTTCCTAGGACTTGCCCACTGAGTAAATTTTAGCATTTTGTATCTCAACCAAAATCTTCACATTTTCTATTTTGAGCCTTTCTCAGCCTACTCCTGAGATCCCATCTCCTCCTCATTTCTTCCCACTCGATGATGGTTCCAAGAGCAATTCAAACCCTCCATGGGCAACTGACAAAATTACTGAGGTATTTCCCCACTAGGTGAAACTTAAACATATTTTATTTTTGATTACAATGGAATCCTACCGTGGCTCCTGGGCTATCTAAAGAGAACCTGAGGAAGATAGAATTCTTTTTTTCCAAAAGAGCAATAGTTCCCTTCCTTGCTTTGCCTCAGGCTAGGTGAGATGGAGACTTTCTTGGCTGTATTCCTCTTAAGTGGAGCCTCATTATGTGGTTTCAATACCTTTTAGCTTCTTCTTTAAAGGCAATTTCTTTCTTTTCCTCCTCAGAATGTTCCTCTGTAGGGGCAGTTGCTTGGTTTCTCATAACTCTTTCCTCTGTGTGGCATTTTTAAGAACTCACCAAGGAGAATCCAGGCTGTGTTGCTTTTGCTGTACACATCTTCCCAAATCTACTAGTTTTGTTTGCAGTTAAGTTGATTCTGAAGTGCATTTCTTTTATAGTGCAACTTCTAAGAATGAGTTAAAAATGATTCTGAGTCTAAATATTTGTAAGTAACATTGAACATGGTTATCCAGTGTAAAAAAGTAACTTTAGAGGAACTGCAGAGTAATGACCTTATTGAATACATCCCACTATCATATTTATTGAAATTTTCAAGTAGAGTAAAAAATATGAGGACCTAGTATGAAATTTTTAGAGAACAACAGGAGAACTAGTACAGCTTCCCTGTTTTGTTTGGAGGCTGCTTGTTTACTAGATAGTAAATCATTTGCCCTATGTAAAAATACTTATTCTGTTATTTATGTTGCTTAGGAAATTTTTATATTTATACTCTTATATTCAGTTTTTTCATATGCTAAATAATGATAAATTATTTCATAAGACTTAATAAAGTTTAAGTAAGATGATGCATATAAAGTACCCAGCACAGTGCTCCAGAATTTATCATTTCAATTCCCATTTCTGTACTAGAAGTCTTCAGAAAAGTTCAACTTGAGAGGCTTATTGTATTTACTAAAACTGTACTCAGCTTGAAATCTTAGAGTCAGATGGGAGTCTTTGAAACTACTACTTATTTTCTGCTGTCTCTGCTTTTCCCACCCCTTG